AATTAGTTCGCTGCGCCAGACACTGCCAGGAGGACGGAGTTTGCAAAGTAGTAAAAGAGAAAAAAAGGGTATGATAGATACTGTAGATATGTATGTAGGATAGAGAAATGGTAAGTCAGGTGCAAGGTTGAATGGGGAATCGAAAGGAGTGCAGGAGGGAGAGGCTCAAAGGGTTTGTGGGATTAATTCCTCGCCTAAACTCCGGACGCAAAGAGAGAGAGAGGAAGGAAGGCAGGGAGGGAGGGTCGAAGGTTATACCAGCACTCGAGTAGTTAGAGTTGGAGTGGGTGGTGTGGGGGGGAAGATGGATGGTTGGATGGAAGGAGGGATGCTTTTTACTGGAAAAGCTAAATAAAAAATAAAAATAATAAAAAAAGGAAGAAGGGGAACCACCAGGAGGGGAATAAGAAAAATAATATACCGGTACAGTACAATAGTAATTTTTATAGAAAGGTAAGCAGAAGCGGGTATTCTCTCGAATGTGGAAAAACTGTAGAACAGTAGAAGCCTTGGAGGGAAAACCCCCCCTCCTCCTCCCCAGGCGAATAGACCAAAAGAAAAAAAGGAAATCCACGAATTGCTTGTTGCTGCTTGCTTCCTGCAGCACTGATTTTTGAGTCACCAATACAGGTACTGTACTGAACTCGTGCTGTACACAGTACAGCACCCGTAGTCTACCGGTATATTAGAGTAACAGTGGAGCCCGCACGACAAGAGTGAAGAGTGAGTATGATAAGTGCCCTATCAATCATGCCCAGGATCTGACTACAATATGGCGGCAAAAATTGAATAGAGGGAGCATACCTTTTGCCCTTCTTCCCAGCTTCAGTGAGTCTAAAGCAAAGCTCATTATCGGGTTCCACTTCCAAGTTCAAAGTTGCTGGTCCCTTTTTCTTTTTCTTTTTTGCTTTTGCTGTTCATCGCTCGCTTTGTAATCCACCGTTCCGTCTCTCACCGCGCAGGGTTGGACTGGAAGTGTATGGAAAGAGAGAAAGTGTGGTAGCAGTCTGTTGAACCTGGATGTTCAGTATGATATGTTCAACCTTGCGCTTCTCACAAGCCTGCCGCCAATCAAGATGGGCTAACCTGTAACTCAACTGTTCTGCTGCAGGCCAAGCTAAGCTGGGTCGGGTGGAGCAGGGCTGGCCGGTGGTAACGTTGGGTACGAGTGCGAAGGGTTCAGCGGACCATGATATGATACCAATGTACCGTATTCGTGTATATCAGGTACGGTATCCTGTGGCTTCCAAGTACAGTACCTAACAAGAAGACGAATCAGGAGAAAGCGGAGTGTTGTATATGTCTCAGGGGGGGGGGGCTTGAAAGCCCAAACGATCGAGAAAGAAGGTGTGGTGATGGTGGAACCGCCGGAGATCCCGAGAACCCGCGCGGAAGCTATTATAGGAAATAAGATAGGTGTGAAGAAGCAATGGAACAAAGAAAAGGAAGCGCGTTGGAAGGATAATTGAAACAGCCACTAGACCGACTTTGCACGCCTCGGCATCACTCTTATTTCTACTTCACTAGCACTGTACCGTATTCGTATCATACGAGTACAGTACCGATACCGGTAACTATTGCAGCACCTCAACACCCCCATCCCCAGATCCGTCCCGTCAGGGGCGAGGAGAAGGGAACAATCGATGGAATGCCTTCAAACCCTTGGACGTTTCCCCACTCCCCCCATGGGAAACTACCGGTTGCATTGGGGTATGGAATCCTCCCATAAATCGGTCCTACATGGACCACTGCGGCTCGTTTCAACAAGCTATCGGTGCATTCGGATCCGGAGGAGCGATTGGCCGGGAGGCGAAGCACCGTACGACCATTCCCTTGAACCGTTATCAAATTGCGATGATGACGGTGGTATGGGTGCATACATGTATGATACCCGCTGTAGATGCTTGGGCGATCATGCTATAATGCACTGTACTGTACGATGTTGTGCTGGTATCATACCGGTACCGTAACCCCCCGTGGAGAAAATGATATTGCCTCTTTGTCCCCACCGCCGACGCGCTAAGTATGATACAGCACAACAACAATAAAAAGGACTTTTTGACGTGATGATCATTAAACCTCTCTGACCTAACTCTCATACAATAACCGGCGACCCCGTTCAGCGTTCAGGAGCCTATCATACTCTACTGTACTTGTAATCAATGGAACTGCCTGAATTCAGCGACTCGAGATAAGAAGCCGCCATCCAGTTCTTTTTTTTTTTTTTTTTTTTTCCTTCCTTTTCCAAATATCATATCATACCAACTTTGGCGCGCACTAACTGCCCTAGTCTACGGTAGTAGAATATCGTTAGATTATCCTCCCCTCCTATGATATAGACTAATACCACCACAAATCTCTAAAATAACTTTAACCGCCATGCTCGGGTAATCCTATTCAAGATGAAGCCCCCTCCATCGCCAATTATGTATGCCACGCACAGGAAAGAAAGAAAAGAAAAAGAAAAAAGAAAAAAAAAAACTTTTTCGAATTACAGTATTTGAATAGCGCGGTATGTACAGTACTTGTAGTTCGAGTTGCCTCCTCCGGTAAGGTCTAGGTCATTATTATTATTTTCTTTTTTCATAAGTCTTTTTAGGGAGAAGGGGGGGGCTGAAACAACTTTCTTTCACCTTTCTGCCCCTTTTTTCCGGGGAAGGTATTGTATAAAAAAATAAAAAAAATAAAAAAAATAAAAAAAAGCCTTTTTGGATCGCCTAATTATTGTACTTGTATGATACGATACCGCACAGCAAAAACAAGTTTTTCGATTATTTGATGAGATTTCCCATAACTCGAGTAAATTAAACGGCGGTCGCCCCCCAAAACTGTCTCCAATCAGAAGATCCAATAACGACCCCAGCCCCTACGAGTACCGGTACCGTACTGAGTATCATACCGGTATGATACAGGTGCCAATAATATGATACAAGTTATGATAACTGGGGCGACTAAATGGGAAAAAAAAAAAAAAAAAGAGAGTGGCTTGCCCAACCCAACCTTCTAGAGCGACGGTAGAAACAGCCTTGATAAAACTGGTATTACCGCTGTACAAAGAATACCGGTACATACATACATACTCGAGTGCCATAAATGCAGATTTTTAACCATTCGGCTGATCGATGACGTGAGCTGCCGGGGGGTAATCGCGCCGAGATCTTTTGTTGGGTTGGAGGGGTTGTTCAGCTCCTCTCCCTTGGGGGGAAGGGAGGATTTGTTTACTTACTTTACATATTATCATACAAGATGTTGTGCTGTTTTTCGCTGGGGGTATATAAATCAGGATTCAAATTTTAGTATGATTATGATATGCGGTCTTGGTGGTGGTCTACCATAATGGTAAAGTGGTCATATGGTATTGCCTATCATACAACTGTGATACCGGTACTATGCTAGGTATGATACCCATAAGGCACGCGCGAGACAGGGCGAACCAAAGAAGAAGAAAAGAAAGAGAAGGTTTAAGCTTTCTTCAGAGCCGCCGGAAGGAAGCTCATAATTTCACCGCATGATATGAGGAAAATCTTGATTAGAGTGCCATACTGTACTGTACAACAGCACAGCTTGTGGATCGCTCCCTCCATCCTCTCCTCCCCCCCCCCAGCCAAGGATTCGGAAGGAAATATCGTACTCGAGTAACTGTGGCAAGCAAACCTTGCAACAGCAAAATTGCTTTCCAGCAAAGCGGAGCAAGATAAATTTCCCATAAAAGTTACCCGACTCGTTAGGTAGGGAGAGACATGGAACAGGGTACTCTACCCGCCCACCGATAGGCTGGCTATGAGTTAATCTGTACAGTACTCTCGCTGGAGATGTCCGGGAGAACGGATAGGCACGTAAGGCTGACTTCTTTTTTACTTGTATACTCAAGCACTTCTTGCCTTACCGCGCTATTGCGATCTCCATCCCATCCATCCATCTCATTTGGAGTCGCTCACTCACGCGTGCATAGGGTTGGTTGGTTGTGTATATGTATATATATATATACATAAATAATATTATAATATTATAATATTATAATATTATGTCTAAACGCCTTATTTCTATTTCGAATTTATGAATGTTTTGTATCATATTGCGGTTTTGTTTGTCTATTGGTCCATCCCTATACCTGGTAGGGGTAACTAGTACAGCACATACAGTATCATATAATCAAGCAATTGAACCTAGTGCTGGAAAGTCCAAAATTTCCTTCTTCTCCCCCCCCTGGGAAAGTGGCGAGAGGAGAGGGGGGAGAGAGAGAGACGGAGCGGAAGTTTTTTTTTGGTTTTGGTTTTGGCTTTTCAGCCCATCTGAAAGACAAAAAAAACAATAATGCCATGCCTTACAGGAGGAGGCAAACGGAATTGGTAAAGCGGTTCGATCGTTTGAGATTCTGCGGTATGCTTGTTTGCTAGGACAGGATACCGATGTAACTTGGGTGCTAGCAGCTGGTCGCTCTATGGGTATGATAGATTGGTGCGCGGGTGGAGCGTGATGGCGAATGATGGATGGGGGTGGATGGTTCAGCTGGGGATGGAGTATATACTGTGATATACAGTATGATAACGGGTAGTGAGAGAAGGCTGTTTGGTTGGTTGGTTGGAGGATTGGAGGAAGGTGCGTGGTGGTGGTGTTGGCTTGGTCTGGTTTGAATGTGTTTGGTGCGGGAGATGGTGGAACATGGAGGAAGATTAGGGTGCGGGTGATGATGTGATATGTGCCGTTAGACTATGATATGTCGTCCAGATACTGCCCTTGGCTACCGTACGCTATAATATCAGAGCATACCAGTGCTAAACGATTGGATTAGAGAAGGGTGTTTTTTTTTCCCTTTTTTCTTCTTCTTTTCCTTTCTGCTTTGTCTAAGCTTGTATTTATATATACTTGCGTCCAGCAATAATTATCTAAAAGTTACGGCTAGTGTTGCGCAACCACCCTGCCAGCAAAAAAAATAACGGTGTCTCATTCCCAGACACTTCATGCCGGGTACAAGTACAGATCCCTATCAAGCGCACACCCTCTGCGATGCGGAATATACCACGGTGCCTGAGCTTACCAAACCCTACTCGAGCGCCATGTCTGAAGGGGAGAAAACAAAGAATTACCGATAGTGGGATATCGCCATGGAAATCCTAATTCTTATTCTTCCTCTTCCCATGATTCCTCGCCCTTGGCGTGATAACATATTTATTCGGCTTACCGCGAGGACCTACAGTATACCACCACCGTGAACCATCAGCCAAACCGCACTTCCGAGGTAAAAAAAAAAAGAAACTTTAAAAATAAAAGGGGGCAGAGGGAGAGTCGTACGAGTCTTGTATCCTGCCTTGGCCTAACCCCCCAACGAAACCACCAGCCGTTAGCACACTTGGCTCAGTAATCGAGATATATATAAACGTAGAACAGTCTGAGCTGAAACTCCACATTTCACTCTCAAGCCACGTAATGGACGGGGACAAATGAATGGCGAGGTGGAAGGAGCTGTGGTAGAAATAAACGTACCGGGGTACCCCAAGGACTGACGGGGGCTTTATTTCCTTGGCTTTTACCACGGCCTCCTCCATGGGGATGGTCGGCTGAGTGGGTGGTATAGTGGTTAGCATATGCATATCGAAGAAAGCGCTCTCTTGGTAGGGAAAGAATTTAATTGGCAGATGTAGGGGGAATAAGATTTTGGATATATTGATAGATCGTTGTGCATTTTCAATCCTGTGCGCTTTCCCCGGAGGGTATGACTGCGCAGGTCCGTGTGTCCCCACCCACATCCTGTTGCGATGTATTGGGCCAACGTAGATGGGCGAGTTTCCGGGGGAGTGGGGAAGGGAGGTGAAGAGGGAAAAGGGGAGTTTTAGGAGGAGGTGGTACGACAGGGGTTTGCTCGACCAAGCAGGCGTGCCGGCTGGGGGTAAAGGCACTGGTATCACCGCTTCGCGCTAGATACTCCCCCCTCTCCATGCCGTTATTGCCACCGAGAAGGAAAACACAAACGATGCAGATCAATAAGATCAAAAAGAAGAAAATAGAGACAAAAGACCCACAAGCATTCATCGCAACACCCCTAACCGTCGGCCGGATCCCCAAATTCCTACTCCTCCCAGCCTTTCCCAATTGCCTATGCTGCCAAGTCGTATTGCTTGCAATTCCCATCGTCGCCGCCGCAAACTTCGAGACTCTCCGTACCTCCCCACTCTGCATCTTGACGATAACACTCTTCGTAGTAGGTTCCCTGGCCACGACGGTAGCGTAGGTCCCGGCGGCCCGACAAAAAACTGCGCCACCTTTCTCCTTCGACCCCACCCCGAACACGACCGACCCAATCGGGATCATATGCATAGGCAAACAATTACCCTTCGTTGTAGTCCTGGCAGCCAGCATGCCCGGATCGATCCGCCCGCCCATAGCCGCCATAAGGTCGTCGGGGATACCATCCCGATACGACTGCACCGTATCCCCAGCGCGCAGGCCGTCGGCCGCGAGAATGTAGCTCTTCCGGCCGGTAGCGTTATTGGTGATTAGTGCTATGTGAGCACTCCTCCCCGGATCACGCTCGATCCGGTCGATCGTATGTTGGCCCGGGGCGAGCCTGTGGAAGTCCACCGTTCGGATCCTCCGCTTGTGTCCACCTCCTTTGTGTCGACATGTTATCCTCCCCGTGTGGTTACGCCCACCAGTGCGCTTCTTTGCGAAGGTTAATGGCCTGAAGGGGCCCTTTTTCCAGAGGTGGTCTTCTATTGGGCGTTTGAGATGACGGAGACCTGGTGTGCGGGGCTTGTATGTGCGCATTTTCAGGTTGCGTGAGGAGCCGGTTGTTGCGCCAGAACCGCGGCGTCGGCTGTCGTCTTTGATACGTGCTGTAAAGGTATTAACAAAGGACATGTCTGGGGCTTCCGGCTCTGCGGCTAGCGGGGGTGTTGATGCTGGGGGCCCGGGAGTGGTGGACACCAGCCGTGCGAGCGTCGGTAATTGATGAAGTCTACTATCGATTAGTTGGCCGGGAGGAATTGGCCGCCGGAGGAGAGCCCGGGCCAGCAGTGATTGGAGCATCGTTATTGCTGACCTTCCGTCAGGTGGACGATGGGAGAGGTTGATGTCGTTGGTGGAAAGTAGAGTGAAGATGTTTAAAGTCTGAAGGGTCTAAAACTGGACCACTGCAACAGGGCTGCTACCGGCATTATGCAAGTGCCAGTGCCCTGGAAACAACAGGAGATTCAGGACTGATTTATAGAGTAGTTTTATATCTTCTTTTCCCGAATTCAATTATAACTTACCTTTTGACTCAATTCCATAACTGTCTGCGTGGAAGCACGAAACCCCGGTATCTCGTGCAATCTTGGTGCAGTAAGGTTACCCGGCTGGCTCAGTTGAGGCTCTGCATCCCACCATCCCCCCCAATGTCTGACTCTCATCCAACCTCACACCTGCCACCGTCCTTTCGTTGGAGAAGATACGAGTGTCGAGATCCACATGCGGGTTCCAACCAAACTTCCGGCTCACAGAGTAGCCTGTGAGTGAATTCCATCAATTCAACTTCACCCCCAAGAGAAAAAGTGATTTAACAGAAAAAGGAAATCACTAGGCCTTGCACTTTATCGAGCCTTCCTCTCCCACATCCCCCACCTCCCACTCGAGCCTGCCCAAACCAAATTCGCGGAATGGCATATCCGCAGCGAATTCAAGCGGAATCAGAACGCACAAGGAATCAGGCCCGTCCGCAAAGCCCTCTCCTATGCCCGCAGAGTACTCCTTCCTCCATCCTCCCCTCCACCCCCTCCTCCCCCTTTCGCCCAATCTCGAAGAATTAACCAGCCGATCCTAGCTAGAGCGAAACCCTGGTGCGCGCCGCCACGACCGGCGACCTAGAAAGCATCACTAAACTCTCGGAAGAAATCACCCAGCTGCAAAAACGGCGCGAAGAAGACCTCTTTGTAGCCACCCTCTCCCCACCCCCTCCAAAACCACCCCCGCCGCCAGCTGTCATGCTGAAATGCAAGAGGAAACTGCGACTTCTGGACCCGAATTATCAGCCCCCTCGCCGCTCCCTGGTCCCGCGACTGCCACAGTTGATAGAGAGTAATATGTTCCCAATCCTCCGCTGGCCAGGCCAGAAGACGCCCCTGCACATATCCATAACTATAAAGAGGAAGACCGTCAAGAAGCAGAAAAGATTTGATCTTTTAGAATTGCTGGAGGTCTGGACCGTGCTTGCGCAGGAGGAAGATATTTTCGATGACATCATCGCGAGGGAAACGGGTGTTAGGGAGGAGGGTGGAACTTGGGAGCATGGAGTTAAGTCTACGTCGAGGGACGTGAAGGATTTGATAAGGAAGGATGAGCTAAGGGGGGTGGAGATGACGAAACGGTTTATGGAAATTATTGAACAGCAGAGGGTAATTCGGGACGACATGATCCTGGGGAGGGATAGACGGGGGCGGCGGAAGGGGGTAGAGGGGTACCAGCTAGGGGGGGCTGGGAGAGGGAAGCGGGATGGGGAGGAAGCAGAATTGTTGGCGGGGGGGGAGGCCGCTCTTGAGGGACTAGGGAAGACGGTGGCGGGAGAATGGGGCGAGGATTCTGATGCTCCTTTTGCTCACTGCTCTTCGCACGAGGAGTCAGAACATGGCGACCTGGAGCAAGAGCACGACGATCCCGACCAAGAGTACGAGGAGCACGAGTACCAAGACCCAGAGCACGGCGACCCAGAGCACGAATATGAAGAGCCAGAATACGAAGAGTCAGAATACGAAGATCCAGAATACTTCTCCGACTCCCCCGACTCAGATCTCGACAACGCCAGCCCAGGCCCGCGCCCGGCACCGGACCCCTTGATACCCCCAACATCAGAGCCAACCTCCACCCCCGAAGACAAACCATAGATCCCATCCACCCCCACCCACCCAAGGCGAAGGAGAACCCTCGTAACTATTAGCATCCCCCACACAACTCACCCCACATGTAAATACTCGCTCTCTTTCATACTTTCACTCATGTTCTCGATTTTGTCTTTTCTTTCCTTTATAATATCATAAGCTTTGTACAATGACAAATCCCAGCCAAGCCACAACTCCATAGAACCCAATCCCATTTCCCATTTCCCATTCCCGCCAAATAGAATAAAACATAATAAAATAAGAACAAACAGAGAGGCCCTACTATCAAAAATTTGATAATAAAAATGGTGGTGATGGCGATGATGAATGGCAAGAAAAACAAAAACATAAACAGGTGAATGAGAACGATGAGGAAGCAGACCAAAACCAGCCGGAGAATGAGATGGTGTGGGATGGAATGGAATGTAGTGTAATGTAATGGATTCACAGGGTTTGAGGTATCATACCGTACCGGTGGTATAATGAGTTATGATAATCCCCCACTGTCGTCGTCGCCGCCGCCGCCCTCGCTCAAGGAAAGGTGAGGAGAAGGTAAAAGAAAAAAGGTATCAAGTATCAAAAACGTTGCCAAGGACTGTCATTTACATCAAGAAATAAATAAAAAGCGAACCAAAGGGGAGAAAAAGGGAATGTTAAGAGGAAGAAAAAGAAAGAAGAAAAAATACGCCATCTACCTCCGATGATGATGCGGCCTAGCTTTCCGTGAAATCTGAGAAATATCGTCATTATCATCCTCTCCTTCGTATCGCTCGTTCCCAACGGCCAGTAACTTGACTGTGTTGCCAAAGCCCACCGCAACAGATCTTTGACCCACCCGACACACGGGACCGGCCCTACTAACCAGTAGAAACTCGTCTGACTCCTCGGCCGCGCTATCGCTGAGTGGGTAGGAAGTCACAACACCATCGGCATGCATGGTCCAGGCTTCCCATTCGTCGTCGTCCTCAGCGCTGTGCTTCTTGCCCATTTTCTTTCGCCGTCGGAGGCTCGAGGCTTGGTGCTGGGAGAGAAGTTCGGAGTCGTCTGAACTCGACTCCTCCTGTATGGTTTCCCGGCGTCGGATACCCGCTACCAGATTCAGGTTTGTCGGTTCCCAGGTCTCTACGTTTTCCAACCAGTGGGTGCTCTCCACTGCACTCTCGAATCCGGAGCATTTGCGTTCCCTTCGATCGCGCTCTGCCCGCAGGCAGATATCCTTCATTCGGCCGCTGGAGGAGAACCATGTGTGCATAATGAACATGCCGGATTCTCGTTCGCTGTATGCAATGGAGAATGATAGGACTGCCGGGCAACCGCAGTATAGACATGTTCGGCGGTTGGCGTGGAACACCCGCAATGAATTAGGCTTGAACTGGCCCGTTTGGAACGTTCGTATCACGCTGCCTGTTATGTGTTAGGTATTCTGAGCATTCAAAATTGAGCCTGATAAAAACTCACCTGATAATAAGTCTACCAGGTCAACTTTGCATGACCTTGAAGTCACAATCATCCCCAAAGATGAAAGCGGCAAGATTGTACAATTCTCACTCGGATCCAGTATTGAGGGAATCACCGGCTGTTCCAATAGGCTGAGCTGGCGGGAATACCATTCACCAGCCGACTTCGAGGTCACAAAGATCTTTCCCCTCTGGCAGGCAGTAACCACCCTTAATGGCAGCCTAGGGGTAAACCCCCCGTGCGAACATGAAACAACAACGCCAGTGCAAATCCTGTGGTGCACACTATTCCCCGTCCTGACGCATACCTCTGAAAGCCAACCGTCATGCCTCAAAACTATTAATCGTGGACCATCACCGCGACTTCGAGGCTCGAAAAAGAACGCACTAGGTTGGTGGCCACCCAGATCTATGGAAACTGATGGCTTGAAAGTTGCTTCCTTGATACTCCATATTGAGACGCTCCCTTGCCTCGGAGCTATAGCCAGCCATTCCCCTTTCTCATCCAACGCGATAGCAATTATAGGCCATAATGAGTGCTGAGGACATGTCGGCCGAATAATGTCTTTCGAAGGAAGTTGCCACATTGTCTTTAATTTCCAGACCACAATTCTCCTATCCAATCCCACAGATACAACAACCCCTCTCGGCGACGCCGCGAGCATGACCACATCCAAAGAGTGCCCCTCATAGAGCGTTTGACAGGTCAGCGAAGGACCTTCGTTCTCTGGTGCCTCAACCAAATCCGCAGTTATATCCTTCATTAGAAGATGATTCATTAAGAGAGTGACAGCAGCCGCCACGACAATAACAGTCAAGATGAACCCTTGTATGTATTCCTTCACCGTGTCGATTGCAACAGCACTTACCAGGCTTGGCATCAGACCAGGAATCTTGGAGCGAGACGAACCGCGGACGACGAAAAATATGGGGTCGTACGCCTTGGCAACCATGCGATATGCACCAGGTTTAACGACTCCAATCAGCTCTTTTCCAGTTAGTTGGTCCTGTCTCTTGAGCCATGCCGTGGGTGTGCGCGCGACATTGATCGGCATAATTGGCGACGGGCTAGGGCCTGGCGAATCGGTAAGTCTGGTTCCTCCCCGGTTGGTAACCATTTCGCACAGAGAGATCACGGTTCGCAATGGAGACTGGTTTTCCAGAAAATGCATGTTCAGTGCAACGAGAAAGCAGATCAACTATAACACACCTTGTTAGACCGTGACCCCGAAGATACGGGACAAAGTTGTGGAACATACAATGACGGAACCCGCAATCCTAGTACTCATCGGCATTGCCCTTTGCATTATTAATTCGCCTGATTTGCCCCGCCCTTCTGGATCCATCCGCCCGCCGTACGACTCGGGTCTGTTGAAAGTGAGCCGATCCAATGAATCCCGCAACTCCAAACGCCTTACGTCGACACTCAAAACTGCCAAGAAATAGGTCAAATGCAGGAAGAAGTCCATAATCAGGGCGACCCAAGCGAACGTGCAAAATTCCCGAACTGCAGGAACGGAGAATTGACCAAGGATAAATAATAGTGCCAGATCTGTTCCTACCGCCACCGAAGAGAGAAATCCAACCTCCCCTAGAGCAATCGCTATGCGAGAAGTTGTGGGCTGTTCGGCAGGGGTTTCTAAAACTGCATTTATGAGACGGAACATGTTTTCGGATCCGATCACTATCACGACAAAAGGAAACACTTCCCTAACAGTATTGTCAGCTTATCATGTCTAGTTTAGCACTGGGGAAAAGGAAGGGGATCGAATCATTGAATTTTTTCTTTCCTCTCTTGAAAGAGGAGGGGAGAAAAAAAAAACCCCAAGTGATAGGGACTATCAAACATACCTAGGTACGTGAGATACTGGGACCTTAAAGAAGGCTAGTATCGTAAAGCTAGACGACACTGAAAATGCCATCTGTTTCACCAAATTAGCTGATGTTGTCTCTATATAAGAATCGCGCTGGGTTGATATGAGGTACCTGGATCAAAACTGCGGCAATAAGGCCCAATCTTGACTTGACAGCCCGCAAGTTCCGCAGAGAAATGGTCAGGTATGCCAGAGTAAGAAGATAGCATCCAGCCAGCATAAAATTGTCTAGTTTGCTCATGGGCTGAAACCGGAACTGTTTTTCCCGCACCCCGACCATTTGATTAATATCACGATTCGGTCCAACTCAAAGGTAGAAGAAACGGTACCTCGTAAAGTGTGCTCCCCTTCTCTTTCCCATCGCTCGGATAAACATCATATCTGCCATGGGAATTTGCCTCTTGTGCCAAGATGGCAGCCCGTTGATCCCAGAGTTCCCCGGCGGAGGAATCCAGGCGGTAGAAGAAACTGATGACCAAGGCATCCGCCTTGACCAATTGATTGTGATGAAAATTTTTACCAGCAAAGACAGAGCCCCACCGTAATGTAACGTTCGCTGGAGAACGCTTGTTGAACTCCTTGTTAACCGTTGTAATCAAGTTCGTATCAGCCTTTATTGCCGACAAAGAGCAATTCCAGTATAACAGCGGCGAGTGGAAGAACATCCCTTTCCCCATCCCTGGATTACTCGTGTTCTTCCTTATGCCACTACTACCGTCATCTACCCCAGCACCACCATTACCGCTGTCACCGCCGTCGCCGCCAGACCCCGTTGCCTCCGTAAACATCCCACTCCCCGAAAACGAGCTGCATGCCACATCCGGGTCCAAGAGCATCTGCTGAATCCTTAAGGCCTCTTCCACCACATCCAACTTCAGAGCCTCCATGTACGACCCCTGGATCCACGCCTGCTTGATCCCAATATCCGGAATAGTGTGCGAGCTTGAGAACGGTCTGGCGGAAGTCCATACGTGATGCGGCACCGACGGTAGACCTGGAGCCGTGGCCGAGTAGAGGAAAGGGAATGGGTAGCATAGTATCACAGCGAAGACCACGGACGTCACGATTGTGATTATCGGGTGCCGAGCTACCGTCTCGCCATGATTCTGGAAGAAGACCCGGAGCGGAGAGGTTGGGGAGAGCCTCGGGGGTTCCGCTGTGTGTCTAAATGGCGATATCAGAGCCCAAAACTACGGAAGACCAACACACACCCAAAAGCGTCAGAAACAGAACACCATAAGAATTGAGGGGGGTGAGTTAATGAGAGAAAGGGGGCTCAGGAGAGGAAGAGAGAGAATATCGTTTTTGTTCTTGCTTTTATTGTTCCTCATCCTTTCATATTTTTTTTCCCCTTTCTTCCTCTCCTCTCCCTCCCTTTCCTCCCGCCTCCGTCTCTCTAGAAAACGATTCCCTCAAGCGCGTATAGGAACCTTAAGCTATGGATGGAAAGGTGGCAGGTTTGGGTTACCATGAAGTGACTTAACGCAGGACAAAAAGAGGCATGAGAAATGAAGACACAAATCGTGGAAGTCGAAGACGAAAGTTATCAACACCGGGTAACAGCTTAATTTTTTTTTCTTTTTTCTTTTTCCCTTTAAAAAACTGTTGAGAACAGGATTCAAAAGGAAAAATAAAAAGCCGGCCCGAAAAAAAAATCAGGACGAGGCCGCTTCGCTTTGCACGGTAGGAGACGGAGTAAGTAAATCGTTGGATAAAAACAGCTGCCGGACCAATTGGAGAAAGCGGAAGGTATGGAGCGCTTGGATTCGGAGTGGTTGTGGTTGTAACTGCGAGGATGAAGAGGAGAGTCGAGGGATAATGAGGACGAAGGGGTGGTTGCAACTTATTTTCCTTTTCTTCCTTCCTTTTTTTTTTTTTTTTGGCCGCGGGGGGGTGGGAGGCAAGTAAATTTAAGTAGGTGAAAAGGTTGGAGTATGATAGGAAGAAAGAGGAGGAGCGCTTGTAAATACGATTTCAACGGTAGAAGAAAGTCCAGTTGCTTCGCCTGGTGCAGAAGGAATAGAAAGGCCCAGTAACGACGGCGACAGCTACTGTGGATGTGTTATGTAGCAAGTCGTAAATGAGTGGTTAGAAAATGGGCGTAGCTCAGAGGGAAGAAGAGGGACACTACAAAATAAAGATATTTATTTTTTAAACTTTACTTTTACTGCAATTATTTACGACTGTCTGGCCTCAGCAAAGAGGAAAAGGGAAAGGAAAGGAAAAAAAGGAAAGAAGAAAGAAGGACAGCAAGAAAGAAGAAAAAGCCCTGTTCTGAACCCGGCATAACCAAGAACGGCAATGGAAGCCGTGGGGAGGTCTTTTATTTATTTTTCTGGCCTCGCTCGACTCTCTCCGCATCTCCCACCACCAACTCTCGACATCTAACTTAACTGCAGGAGTATAGTATGTAACTCAACATATAAAAGGTACAGTCGGCAAGTTTCCGGCCAGGAGGAAGGAAGAAAGCGAATACGATAGCCATTCGAATCGTCAAGATCGCCGCACAGAAGCCATGTGCGTGGCTGCGGGGAGGTGTACGGCAGAGGAAGAAGCAATGAGAATGGATGATAGAGTACCAAAAAAAAAGAAGAAGGGGAAAGAGAGAGAAAAACCTCCATTCTCGCAGGAGTTTGAAATGATTGACCGGTTAATCATTAACAATCCATTCTCTTCCACGTGCTGGAGCACTCGATTCCAGTGGCATTGAATGAAGTTCTGTATGGGCGCCGCAAAGCGCCCAGACCGTATCTACTGTACGGAGGTACAGCTCCTAAGTCTCGTATGTTACACCGGTTGCTAACACGATGCCCACTGCGAGTGTAACATACAAAACTTAGGTGCTGTACCTACGTAGGTTATGGTGGACGATATTGGTCCATAAACTTGAGAAAAAACTACCGTGATAATAACACGTATTGCCGGTACTCGAACTACTGCAGTAGTTTCCCCAACCCGTACCAGTACCGCACCAAACTCTACCAAAACCAGCCACCCAGATACCGGTATGTCTAAAGCTATTCCTACTGCGCTGGTGGGGTATTATGGAACATGGCATCCCAACCGACCCCCGGCTCTAGACTGTGAACCCCAAAATCACCCCAAGTCTAAATAGCCCACCCGCGATTCGGAGCCAAAAGAGCAAGACAGGATGCGCGGGTTACTTGTACCGGTGCTGTACGAGTACCGTAGACGTCCATTTCCTCCCCATCATTTCCCTTCCCGCCCCCCGGTTCCCTGCTTTTCTTCCTTTCACACCCCGGAAACGGGACAGGCTGCCACGGTTTCGCGACTTATCAATTGGCCTTTACCCCAATGAGACATTTTGCGGTGGGGTGGGGAGGATTTGCTCCAGTATGGTATGCACCCGCGTTGCGTAACACGAAGAACTCCTCGTGCGGTGCTTGCCCAAAGTAGTATCATAGCTGTGGTCGTGAGCCTCATGCTCAGCCTTTTTTCTTCTTTTCTCAGGTTCATTATTAACTTACAACGGACTACCGGTATTCTACCAACTGCTCGAGTACAGTACGAGTACCGTATGCTCTATGATCTTGTACAGTAAAGTACGGTACACACCTACTATCTATCTGGTTAGTGCTGGCAGGCCACCTTAGTAATACTGCATCGCACCCTACCAAACAGCGATCATTTCCCCACGTCGCCTCCAAGAAAAAAGAGGGTGATCTAGGGAGCGCACGGGAGTGCAGCACAGCACATGTGGAATTCCAATGAAAATCGTACAACAATGCATTTCCTTTCATCCACGACTCCCCGATTAGCATACACATATGATAGCAGTGTGGGCTACTCGTAGAGTAAGCTTAAACTAATAGACACGGAAGGCAGGACAATCCGTATAACACCTATGCCGGCAAACATTTTTTTCATCTGTTCAGGGCGTAAACCTTATAGTTACAATACCGCGAACCAGTTTAGCAATTGCCCCGAAAAGGATACGATGCTTGTGCTGTGCTTGGTTTTGCATCGACCAATCTGCCGGCTCGCCTAAAACCCTCAGCCCCCAGATGTGTGTGGTCGTAATCGACTGCGTTCCACTGGATGGTGGCGACTCCCGGAGTCTTAGAGACAGCTGCCGGTATCAAGGGACTTTAAGATTCCGCATCTAAAATCAGATCCAAGGAATCTGGTTGGTCCAGCACCTGTCATCCAAAATAGGAGGCCTGTCATAGGCCAGTACTGTAGCTTAAAATATGTTGTAGTAAGGAAGGGAGGGCGTCCGGAGCTGGTCGGTTGTGTCATGTAAATGCCAAAGCAGCAAGGAGGGTGGGAGAAGAGAAGGAAACGCCCTCGCTAAGTTATTACTCGTTAGGTCAAACGAGATCGGCGGGTTGGCAGCTCGGAAAGAATGCTTCGTGTAAAAGGCAAGAAAGTCACCCGTGAGAATCAGCCACTGTTTGGAAGCCACGAGTGGCTAGTATTATAGTATCAAGATACTGACTGGTATCATATCTAACCAGCCAACCTCCTTGCCACAAAGCCACCACGTCCACCGGCAAACCCCCCAAAATCGCTCATGCCCATCCAGAGCTCTGACCCCCACCACCTTAGAAACTAAAACGGCAAGCCTAAAGCTATAATATACCAGCTTTAAATCGGGCCCGACCCTCCGGGTCCCCCGATCCGTTTCCGCCCCTTATGTTACAATTCGGGCCGGTTCAGCTCTGGTTTTCTACAGACGGGGTGGTGCGAGAATTTCTCACTAGGTTTCTACTCGTACCAATCTCGGATGTGTCCGAGATCCCCCGTATTAATACCCTCGAGTATTGTGCTGCCACCATGTTAAGGAGGCGGGGGTTCAATTGGAGCAGAATGTTTACGGATTCATAAAGTGCCCGGGCGCCTTGGCGCCAGGAAGGTTATCAACCGATCCCGAGGGGGCCTGATACTTTATGGATTGGTAAGTACCGTGCTCGAGTACGGCAGTTAAGCGTAATACATGATATGGTGGTAACTTACGAGGGAAGTTCTCGTATCATAGCCGGCGACAGTATGGGCAGTTTATCACAATGGTAATGTATTGAAGATTCATATGATACCTTTACCGTCGGGTGAGGAAGCCACCGGTACCTATTCAATATTACTAGAGGGGCAAAAGGAAACATAATACATAGGAAAAACTGACCAGAAACCTCCCCGAACAAGCACGATTCACAGCCTGCAGTCCACAATCATAATCTATCACCCGATAGCCTGAAATCAGAGCTTAAATTAACCCCACATCACGTGCCACGCTAGTGGTGGGGCACCAGGAAACGAGCGGAAAAAAGTTATCGATAAAGACCCACCACCAAGGTCCAGCCGCAACGCTATCATAATTGTGACAAGTTAGCGCTGCCGGTATCTCGCAAATCACGGAACGAAAACTTCCAATCAATCAATCAATCAATCATATTCTCAGCGCAACAACGCCCCTCCGAACAAAACACGCGATGCCATCCCCAAACATCTGGATAGCAGCCAGCGACAATGACATCCAGTCCGTAGCACACTTCCTCTCGCAGGACGCAGAATGTGTAAACTCCAAAGACGAAAACGGCTGTTCGTCCCCTATCCCGCCCAATCCTTTTATTTACATTATTTACTGACTTGTCAAGATACACCCATCCACGCAGCCGTCTCCTACAACCACATACCCCTCCTCCGCTCGCTAGTGCGTACCCACGGCGGGGACGTGAACGTGCAGGACGGCGAGGGCGATACACCGCTATTCGTAGCTGAAACCGTCGAGGCTGCCCGGGTGCTGGTGGAGGAATTGGGAGCTGAGGTTGGGCATAGGAATGGGTTGGGGTTGACTGTGCTTCTCCCTCCCCCCATCACGCCCCAACTTCGCTGGCTAATGCAGAGGAGGGGTATCAGGCAGCGGACACGATTGAGGAAGACGGACAGTTCCCGTTGGTAGTTGCATACTTGCGTGGGTTAGAAGCCACCGCTGCCGCCGCCGGTGAGGATGAGGAAGGAGTGGGGGAGGAAGCAACGACGTATCCTAAACCGCCGCCGGGGATCTCGGTTGATCTTAGTGCTGCCGAGGATATGTCTGAGACGCTATTGCCTGTGGACGACGCGCTTAGGCGGAAGATTGAAGGGCTGGCAAAACGGGAGGACTTTGATAATGAGGAGACGCAGAGGGAGTTGAGGACTCTTGTCACTCAGGCTGTGCATGATCATGTTATGGATACTGGGGAGAGGAGTGTTCGGCCGCGGCAGGAGGGGGAAAGTGCGTAGCAGAGGGAGGGAAGGGGAGTTCAATTTATGGCTCAAAAAATAAATTGTGTTTTGGTTCAATGTTTTATTTCCTCGCATAATAACATCATGTTCGTCGAGCTCACTGTTATGCACAGCGTTACTCTGGCCGAATCGATGCGGGGCGCACAACTTTTTACTCTATACAACCAACCAGGTAAGGTAAAACGAAACACCTCAGATAAATACTGGAAAAAGAGGGGAAAAAAGGGAAAGTCGAGGGAGATTGCGTCTCTGGTCTAGGTATGTCACCGCTATACCGAACCTGCGCGTAAATCGAAAAAAAAAAAAAAGTGCGAAATCTACGAAACGCATGCGGTGCCCTCTGAGTCTACGATCAAGCCTCGCCACTTACCTTCAGCTTCTTGTAGAAATCAATTACCGAAGTGAAGACAACGAGAAGGATACCTGTTGAGGAGAGGAGCCAGCTTAGTAAGGGCTCGCCATGATGACAGGCAATATCAGGATTGAGTGAAATAGACGACGTACCTCCCCCTGGGCCCAAACGAAGAACCTTGGGCACGAATCCCTTATAAAGCGCTGCCAAGCCCTCCTCTTTGGCGACCAAAGCGATCGACGGAAGAGTCCAGTTGTATTTTGGAACGATACCTTTAACCCTGACAGTGTTTTGGATGCGGGATTTGACTACGTCGGCACTGTTATTCCCGAGAGTTAGTGACTTTCCGGGTAGACGCCCTAAGCATGGACGTTTGGGGAGGTAAATGGTACGGAGTATTTAGGATGGTTCCAAATGTCCCACCGATAGATCCAGCAACGAGATCATTAGTCATCTGCCCTTGCTTGGTTTCCGACTTTGGAAGAAGTTTCTTCGCTTGAAAGATGACTCCAAAGTATCCCGCGTTCCACAAGACGTGCCTCCACATGGTACTCTCTAGTCCGGTGTATAGACCCAATAATCCATCTAACGCGACCACTTTCTTCACTACATCAATGGGTCCGTTGCACGAGGATTTCTTATCCTGGAGACGGATCTTGACTAGCTCAAAGGGAACAACGACAAAGGATTCCGTGGCACCGGCAGAGGCACCAGTAAGGACCGATATAGACTGGTTCATTTCCGATACGCCAAACATTTTGCGGTAGATTTTGCCCCACTCGTCATTCGCAGCAAACTTGGTCGCCCTGAAGCTCGGGTTAGGAACAACCACTAGGGAGGGGGAGTTGTAAAAAACGTAAGGGAGATCGCACCTCTTCGGAGCTTCCATAAGGATGGGTGCGGCAATTCCACGGTACAATCTCGAGAACCTTAAGTAGCGGTTAGCAATCCTATGTGGCTCTTGATTGAGTTATTTGGATCGAACCCTTCGTTCTTGATGATTTTACGGAAACAATCAACCATGCCATTATACCTATCAGCACCCTTTGCAGTATTATCTTGAAGTTGGCTTGATGACATAGAGAATTTAGGTTAGTGCGATGCCCTTGTGGCGTGAATGGAGCAAGAAATCCTTACACGCGAGTCTTGACTACATCAAGAGGATACCTATCAAACCGCCGTTAACAAAGTTGACTCTAAGAAGAAGAGAGGGAGCACTATGGGCTCAATTGCGAGCAGGGAGTTACATGGTAAGGATCTATATGATGTATCAAAAAAGTCTATGTTAGCGTGTTGATCGCTTCCTCTACAGGAGTGGGTGGGGTTGCTAACTTCACTGATTCCCGCGATTGCTCCTACAGTATTGGTCCACATGGTTACAAATTGGCATAAAAATGGATGGAAGTCAGATGAACGAGTACAAACCTGCCGCAAAGGACACAGAGAACGGGATAGGCTCCTGTTTAGACATTGTTGATGGGTGCGCGATATTTGTCCGGGATTCGTTGACGAAGTAGAAAAAGACGGCCCTGAGGGTGCGATGAGGCGGTAAATCAGGGAAGAGGGAAAGTGTGAGGGAGAGGAAGGAGAGGAAGGAGAGGAAGGGAGAGAGATTATTGGGGAGAAATGTGAGGAGTGTTGCAATTTACAGTGGATCCTGCCAAATGGGAGCCCGGTGCAAAGTGGTCTATGAGATGTGCAGAGCCTTAGTGGGCTCAATCCCACGCCCTTGCACCTACATATTAGAGACATCGAGTAGAAAGCGCATATCATACCCGCACAGTAATCTGGCACAGTGTGTGGTGAAAAAGGTTTAGAGTAACTTTTTTTTACAGTACCGTGCAACGACAGGCTGATGCACGACTGGCGTATGGACTGCCGCTCAGTACTCGTACAGGTACTGCGCTGCAGTGCTGGCAATCTAACCCAAAGTGAGGCTTTCCACTAAACATTTTGGGATCTGATGCAAATATATCAATATATCAGCCCCATCGAATCCCACAGGAGATGCTTTCACCCACAAGCGCAGCGGTCCCAATCTCCTAGGCAAAATATTGTATCGTAACATGCTGATGTATTGTGTTGAGCGTGATCTTTGCTATCAGCAAGGGCAAACATTGGGCAAACCACGTCTACTTGTACCGATACTTGTATGATACTTGTGAGAGTGGGTCAGTACTGTATATGCGCCCAGTAGAAAGTTAGAGAAGAGTTAATTTAGGTTAACCAGCAAAAATAAACCCTGTCTTACACGAAAACATATACCTTGGCACTATCTCCAGCCATTTATATGCAGGGGACTTGGTTGATAGAGTGTTTAACTCATGTTACACTTACCACCACTTGGGATTGCGGGGCAACCGCGTCGCGTTGGTCTGCGAGCGGCGAAAGTAATGAAATGGTTTTTTTGGGACAGGGCAACTCCTAAAACGCGTTCCCTTTGACGCCAATTAACCTCGCCTCCCTTGTTTCACCTCTGTGGATATCATACAGTAAATGAATTTTCTCCTTCTCTTGTAGGTTACATATCTAGCACACAACTATTCATTACCTATCATACCACACGCTCGCCATCATCTACCTTGGTTTGCTGTCTCTTTCGCTCGCTTTTGCTACTGGTAGTCTATTCGAAAGCCTCTCTATTCCTTCCAACCATTTTGTACACTATTATCTTTTAGCTCGTAATACCCCCCTAATGCCATGTCTCGTCGAACTAAAAGCTTCTTTGAACAGGATCACTCTGCGAAGGTACACCCTCTTGCCTTACTTTCCCCGTTCCAAGATTCGTGATTGGCTAACAATTCTTGCGCGACTCGTTAGGCAAGGACTCCATACTCGTATAACAAGAGAGGGAATCCTAGCCCGCTGCAACAGCAACAACCACAGCACCAGAACTTGACTGGGAGTGGCCCTTCTACAATTCCTCCTTCCAAAGAGACAAAGGCAAAACTGAGCGCATTTGCTTTTGGCGGGTTGACCCCTCGCCGCAAGGGAAAGGGGTCTGGCAGTGGAAAGGAGGAGGGCGAGGGAGAGGGCAATAATGATGCAGAAGGTTTAGCGATGACCGTGGACTCGGAACCAATGTCGGATCCGGCCAGGGAGTGCCCGCAGACTCCCGCCCCGCGGCTCGCCTTGTCAGATCTTATCGGAATTGGTGAAGAAGGAAAACTCCCACAGCTTGCAGCACAATCAGGTGTTTCTCCGGAGGACAGAATCATGTGGCAGTTGTCACCGAATGGCTCGCAAGTAACGCCGAGGGTCAAGGGAAAAGGACAAAAAAGGAAGAGAAATATCGAATCCCCCCTAGGGGATGCTGCTCATCAGGACTCGGCGGCACAGGGAAAACCGGGCGCTTTTGGTTCGCAGAGCTTGGAACCGGACCTGAAAACACCATCAGTGGACCCTGCGATGCAGCTCTGGAGCAAATATTCTACAAACACCAATTCTGGTTCTGCTGCTGCGCGCCCCGCCAATCCGGCCGCTCGTCTTTTCAAGGGCGGGGAAGCATCTCAAAGTGGGGCCCCAGATTTATCTCCCCTCGGTTTGAGACGTTCATACAGTTGTGGTCCAGATTGGCCTGGTCATTCTCGCTTGAAAAAAAGGAGGATAAACCCTGAGTTGGGCCCCGAAGAAGGCATCGCGGAAGAGCCCACAGGAAACCCCAAAGCCCTCACTACCGGAGCCAATGGCCCTGGGCCATCGAGATTATCAAGGGTTAGTCGCCTTGTTGACAAAGTTAAGGAGACCTTAGGAAAACCCTCAGTCCTGCCAGATTTACCGTCCTCTTCTTCCCCACTTCCGGAGAGACATCCCAATTTTGGCCTGACGTCGTCTCCACTCGGTGGCGGAAGGTTCAGGGCGCGGGGAAGTCCTTCTCTCGGTAGGAGCATAGCACTTGCTGAAGAAGCCGCGCCTGTCGAGAGTTCTGACTCGGAGGACTTTGGCGAGTTCGACGAGGCCGATATTGACATTGATATGCTGGAAAAGGTTGAAGAATTAGTGGGGGGTTCCCAGTCCCAAACTCAGGCCAAACCTACGGCAGAGGATTCCCATAATCCTGCAATGCTTGCTCACGAGCAGTCAATGAAACCGGTCCAGGAGGGCTCCGAGTTAGTTGTGGGTACCGATGGAGAAGACGAATTTGGTGATGGGAATGATGATGATTTCTTTACGCAAAACTTTGAAGAGCTGGTCGCCAAGTTTGACACACCCGCCATCGAGCCGACACCGGCCAGTAACCTGGGCGGAAGCTCCCGGAAACAAGATCAAGAAAATCTAGACGCCAAGGTTCGGGATCAAGCAGACGAAAATGCCAAATTTCTCGAAGAGTTTGGCGAAATTGATTTCGATGAATGGGAGGAAGAGGAGCTGAAGATCACTCAAGGGCTTGTGCGTATCGTCCGTGACTGGATTCCTACAAGTTCTCTAATAATTTCAAGACAGATATAAACGCGAAGGTCATAAAAAGATATCTAGTTCTGGAAATATCCGAGAGCCAGTGGGAGCTGGGGGATCAGAAGGTGGGGTTCTAGTATATATTTTGACGAGCCGTCATACTGATCTGCTCAGGTATTGAGAGTAAAGGATGAAAGGTTGAATCACGAGAGAAAAATCCAACTCCGGGAATCGTGGTACCTCGATACCGATATCTCTAAAGGCGACTATCTACATCTGATCGGAGCTTTTGACTCTTCCGGAACTTGTGTTGTTGATAATGCTCACAACATGATCATCCTCCACCCAGATTTCCTTGTTTCAAGTACAGTGGTAGCAGACTCTTTTAGCTGTGTGCGGAAGGCAGTTTTCCAGGACCGTGTCAAAGCAACTGGCGACATCAGTAAGCCAATGGTGTACGGGAATATTCTTCATTCACTTTTTCAGATTGCTTTAGAAGCGAACGATTTTTCGACTGTGTTTCTACGAAAAAGCATAGACTCACTCGTCGTCCGGTATGTAGAGAGTCTATACATGCTAAAGGAGCCACTTTCTGTCGCGGCTGAGTATTTGTGCTCGAAAATACACCTTATCCAAGACTGGGCAAGTTTATTCGTTTCGAAAAAACCTAAGGTAGCTCCCTTTCTGCTCTAGCAATACCCGCAACTAATCAATATACCCAAAGGCAAATGCTTTCGTCACTGAGCACCGCACAAGATATAATCCAGTAGTTGCTATTACCAAACTTCTCGACATCGAGGAGCATGTTTGGTCCCCAATGTTTGGCTTAAAGGGAATGATTGATGCCACTGTTCAAGCTACAATCATTGACCACAAAAGTGAGAAAGTATTAACTATCCCACTTGAATTTAAGACCGGCAAAAGCACGACTGTAATGATGCACCGCGCTCAGACAATGCTCTATACTCTTTTGATGTCAGACCGATATGGTTAGTTGGCTAGAATTATCTATCGGTTAATGGAAACTGACTTGGTTTTAGATATTGACGTGCAGTGCGGATTGTTATACTACTTGGAGAACAAGGAGATGATTCGTGTACCGGCTATCAGAGACGAGTTGCGTGGGATGATCATTGGTCGCAATCGCCTTGCAAGTTACATTCGGAACAGAGAAGTCTTGCCGGACATGCTGAGGAGCAGATATACCTGCGGAAACTGTTATGTTAAGGAAACTTGTTTTATATACCATAAAGTAGGCCCGATCCCTCTGGTGATACTCTCGACGGGGAAAGCGCTAACCGATTGTAGCTTCTAGAAGACGGTACCCCCAAAACTAGTGGCGTTGAGGACCATTTCCATGACATGACCGGCCATCTTGGCAAATCGCATCAAAAATTCTTTGGGCACTGGGACAACTTACTATCAAAGGAAGAAAAGGATATCTCTCGTTTTAGAAAAGAGCTTTGGGGACTACTCAGTTCTGAACGAGAGGCACTAGGAAGGTATTTTGTCATAGCTCCTGGTTTGAATGTTTGCACAGGACCTAATATATAACGTTTGAGTTAAGATGCTTCGGTCAACTTGTTATTGTGCCAGGCTCAATCTCTGTTGATTCTTCAGCTTCGAAGATCAATAGATACACCTATATTTTAACGAAGGGCGAAGGGACAGCGGTTCCAGGTTTTACTTTCTTGGATTCTATGATCAACCCTGGTGAACCCATTGTGATTTCAGATGAAAAAGGCCATTTCGCCCTTGCGTTGGGTTACATAACAGAAATTCGCTACAATCGGGTCACGGTGCGAGTAGACCGGCGATTACACAATGCGAGAACGCGCAAGCCTGGGTTCAACAAGAAGACCAATCAAGTGTTCGCAGGCATCATGGAGGTTTCCAAAGATGGCGAAGAGCAGGATTTCCCTCAGTCTGTCGTTCCAGATGAGGGAATCCGCTATAGATTAGACAAGGACGAATTTAGCAATGGGATGGCTTCTGTCAGGAACAACCTTATTCAAATCATGTCACCTAGGGCGAACGAGAAGTATCGAAAACTCCTCGTGGACTTGGAGCCGCCGGTGTTCAAAATTTCTCCGACCGCTTATTCCGTGGATAGTAGCAGTCAGACTAATCTGAATGGAGACCAACGTAAGGCAATCGAAAAGGTCATGAGCGGTATGTCGCCCCCCCTTCAAAATGCATGGCAGTGCTACTAAACAAATGATATAGCCCAAGATTACGCTCTTGTACTTGGGATGCCCGGAACGGGCAAGACCACTACCATCGCCCATATCATCCGAGCACTTGTAGGGCAAGGAAAAAGTGTTTTATTAACGTCCTATACACATACTGCCGTTGATAATATCCTTTTGAAAATCAAGAACGACAATATTGACACCCTCCGTCTTGGCTCAGGGACCAAGGTGATCCGCATATTCAAGCTATTTATGATCCCTTAGTACTAATTACAGACCAGATTCATCCCGAGGTCAAAAGCTTCGCACAATTAGCGGAAGGCCAGAAAACATCCTTTGAGGAATTGAGAGAGACCTTCCACATGCCCAAAATTGTTGCCACAACATGTCTCGGAGTAAACCAGTGAGCCCACCATTTAGGTGTAACAAATGAATTAATACTGACTAAAACTTAGCCCTATCTTTTCCGAGCGCAAATTCGATTACTGTATCGTTGATGAGGCCTCCCAAATAACACTACCTGTCTGTCTTGGCCCGATCCGAATGGCCAATACATTTATATTGGTCGGTGATCATTATCAGTTGCCTCCCCTTGTACGAAGTCCCGAAGCGCGTGAAGGCGGACTGGACATTAGTTTATTCAAACTGCTATCAGACGCCCACCCTCAGAGTGTGGTAAACTTGGAGCATCAATACCGAATGTGTGAAGAGATCATGACATTGTCGAATGACCTCATCTACAAAGGAAAGCTCAAATGTGGTAACGAGCAAGTCGCAAAGAGGACACTACAGATACCTCACATTGGTGGGCTGGTGAGGCACCATTCCTCTACGCAATATACACAGTGTGGAAGCGGACCCTGCTGGATTCGAGATCTCTTCGCAGATGGGTATGTTTACCTTTGGAGCCGTTTTCCCTAGCCAAAAAGGTATACTAACTCTAGAAAAATTTAGTGTGAAAGCTTGCTTTGTCAACACAGACAATGTTCCAGCAAAGGAAGTCCGAAAGGGCGATCGAATTAACAATCCGATTGAGGCTGATATTGCGTATCAAGTAAGCATCTCTTAATCTCCCCCGTCTAGGTGCTTCTAACATTAAATCCTGTAGCTCGTAGAGGGATTCTTGAGTTGCGGCGTTGATCCATCCTCTATTGGAGTCATCTCGGTCTATCGCTCCCAAATTAAGATTTTACAGAACCTCCTCCGTAACAGACCCTCTGTCGAGATGCATACGGCAGACAAATTCCAAGGTCGTGATAAGGAAATAATCGTCATTTCCCTCGTCCGTTCAAATGGCGATCAAAACGTCGGCGAACTCCTCCGGGATTGGCGAAGAATCAACGTTGCATTTACCCGTGCAAGGAGCAAACTACTTATCCTCGGCTCCAGATCAACACTTCAATCCAACGAACTCCTAGCAGACTTTGTCAGACTGATGGAGAGAAACAAATGGGTTTACGACCTACCGCCTGATGCCCAATCCACCCACTTTATGCCGCAAACTCAGCCCTCAGCAAGCACCGGCTTCAAGAAGGCGGAACCAACCAAAGGTCCAGAGAACCGTGTGAACGGGAAGAAGTCGTTGAGCTCAAGGCATGGATTTTTGGGCAACAGGCCAGTTTTGAGAGACATTGTAAATGGTGCAGTGTGAGCAGGATTTTGGCTATTCCTGCTTATTTGAACACAAGTGGGTTGTGAGCTTGTTCATGAGTCGTGGTTGTTATCTATACATGTATGATATCATTCGCATTGAGTAGAGGGGGTTTGAATTTTGTGCCTAGAGACTAGTCAATATTCTTAACATGAACAGCACTGTACAGTACAATGCCACTCCGAGTGATTTGCCGTGCAAAAAAGCTTAAACGAGGACATGACTCATTATAGTTTTAAATTAAATTTTTATCAGGTGATCACGTTTTTTTATTGGATTATTTAATCAGAAGCGAGTCAATTGGTCGCGACGCGCAGGCTCCGCCACCGGAGACCTCACAACGCCAATTTTCCCCTTTCCTCGCGTCTCCCTTCGTGTCTCCCTCTCACCTCTTAAGAACACATCATATTGCCGTTTTCTCTTCCCTTCATCACCACCACCATCGACATCTTAGCAACCGTACCTTGCCAGAAGGATATTGACCATGAGTGCCGAGGAGGTCGCACAGGAAGGTGGAAGCCAATTCGACGATCAGTCCACCCAGATAGGTGGGCCGGGAGCCCCTACTCCCCTATCTGCCCTCGAGGTTCGCCACTATCCCTGTCTATTGCAGGTGCAACGGGATGGGAAGAACAGCTAACGAATGGACGCATATAGGGTAATGGAATCAGTGCGCGGGATATCAAGGCTGTTGTAGAGGCCGGGTACAACACTGTTGAGGCTGTGGCGTACACTCCAAAGAGAGCTCTGCTCGTTATCAAGGGTATTTCCGAGGCTAAGGCGGATAAACTTATCGCCGAAGGTAAACACCGACCGTTTATTACATACAGGAGCCATAATCTAAATATGTCCAGCTTCAAGATTAGTCCCCATGGGATTCACCACCGCGACAGAAATGCACCAACGTCGCAGCGAGCTAATCTCCATAACAACCGGTTCAAAAACCCTCGATACCCTTCTAGCAGGCGGTATCGAAACAGGCTCCATCACAGAGGTGTTCGGCGAGTTCAGGACCGGAAAGAGCCAGCTTTGCCACACTCTCGCCGTGACATGTCAGCTGCCTTTCGACATGGGCGGTGGCGAGGGTAAATGTTTGTACATTGATACCGAGGGCACCTTCCGCCCTGTCCGTCTACTAGCTGTTGCCAACAGATACGGGTTGAACGGAGAGGAGGTTCTGGATAACGTTGCTTATGCACGTGCATATAACTCAGACCATCAGCTGCAATTGCTGAACCAGGCTGCCTCGATGATGACTGAGACGAGATTCTCGCTCTTGATAGTGGATAGTGCGACTTCGTTATACAGGACTGATTTTGCGGGGCGCGGGGAGCTTTCTGCTAGACAGACGCATTTGGCCAAGTTCATGAGGACGCTGCAAAGACTTGCTGATGAGGTTCGTCTTGCCTGACTTATTATGGAGTTACTCTAGAATGCTGATACAGATTGCGTAGTTCGGTATTGCGGTAGTTATCACTAACCAAGTCGTCGCACAGGTAGATGGCGGTGCGGCGATGTTCAATCCCGACCCGAAGAAGCCCATTGGTGGAAATATTATCGCGCATGCTTCTACCACCCGGTATGTATTCTCCTTTACACTTGTATCACCACAGCCTGCTCACGCCCACCCAGCCTATTCTTCAAAAAAGGCAAAGGCGAAACCCGTATATGTAAAATTTATGACTCCCCGTGTCTGCCAGAGTCAGAGTGCATGTTTGCTATCAATGGTATGTTGTACCCATGCCTCCCCCCATCTGTCAGGCGCATGATACCAACGACTATAATATAGAGGACGGAATCGGCGACCCAAATCCTAAAGACTTAGAAAACTAGAGCACCCAATATATCCTTTTTCTCCTCCTTTTACTGCCTCTTCCTCTACTTTAAATTCCCTGCCTCTCTCATTGTCTAGGGTTTTTTCCTTCCTTGTCGCGTTTGAATACGAATAGTGTAACTGGGGGCGTTGACTAGCTTAAAGGAGTGGTGCTGGGGGGCTTATGATAGCATGTCTTTTTCTTCTTTTGTTTTCCTTATGCTGACTGGAGGGGTGGATGGAGACGGCGGTGGGGTTGGGGTGTATATAATGGCATGGCATTTCATGAGTTTTTTTTTTTTTTTTTTTTTTTTGGAATGGTGTCGGCGGACGTGAGTTGGTTTGCTAAAGTGGAGAACGCACGCGATATACATTACCAGTATGCTATCATAGGCCAAATTATTGCAGGCTCTCCCTCCCCATGCTGCTCGGACTAGAGCGCTATAGTGCACTGTACTGATCACCCCTAAGTCTATTCCTTCCCATGTCAAGATCCTTACAGCCTCACTCTTTGATCTCCTCCTTCCATAGGGCTTGCTTGCGTACGATCATCCCACCCCGTGGGGAGCACAGAATGCTTACAGCAACCAAAGCCAGCGGCGCTTTAAGCGTAAGTGAGGGGTAGTGTACGCACTATCATACTCCCCTGGAGGGAGGCGGGGCCAAGAGTTGGTGAATATATCTTATCGTTGAATGCAATCACAGGAGCCAGAGGTCGAATGAGCAGATGCAGGATTGAGATTGGAGCGTTGAATGTTTCATGAAAGGAGGTGAAGATGGTTCTGGGGGGAAAAGAAAAAGAAAAAGGAGAAGAGATGGGCCTATGGATAGGATAGGACAGGAGAACTTGACGCGAGAAGTCACAGAGCGTCACTCGAGGGGGCTTAGTTAGCAAGAGCGCAAATACCGATTTTCAACATTTTCAATACTCGTACGGTGCAGATAGCAGGCGGGGGGTGTCTGTCTCCTCCTCAATATTTGTGGCGGTGTTGGAGTTGTTAAAGGAGGTTGGTCCTTAATGGGGATTTCTCCGGGCAGTTCTTTGTGGCGATTATAGTATTACTCGTAGGCTAGACTGAAGCACAGAAACGCCCAAGCATACCAACCATCAGTTCCATTTATATAGGTCCGATAATAGGTGATCAAGCGTCTATCCTCATTCCCACTGCCTAGATCATACCGCCGGTGCAACTTATTCTTCGCTCCACCAGTCAGCGACGGCGCAAGTGCCATTAACACAACACACACACATCCCGCTTACCGCCCTTGAGGCAGGCAGAAATCGTTTCAGCCCGGAATGAAAGAGAGTATCATACTGGACCCAACAGTATTTCTGACAGTGCCGCCCAATCCCGCGCCAGACGTCCAGTAGAAATCGCGACCGGGCGACTCATACATATCTGCCCGTCCCGGTCGAATATTCCTATGGATTCAACCGAAGCACGAGGGGGTGTTGGTCCCATTATCGGCCCTTTTCCGGTCAATTGTTTTGTTTTTTTTGCCCTTGTGGGAGATATGTTGGGCCTGTATGGGAGGAGGGGGGATGTTTGTATGGATAAACCGATGTCTCGGGCGAGTGATCTTTTATGTTGAACAGTTAGTGGAAGGAGGAGGTGTACGATAGGTCTATACCGTATGTATCTCTAGGAGAAATGACTAATGCGCAGTCAATGTGTGGGTAATAACTTGGTTGTGAAGTCCGGGAACGAAAGTCGGACGGTGTGCCTTGAACGGGAATCATCCATCATAGGCTAAAGGGAAGTGCTCTTCTGTATACTATATATATATATATATATATATATATATGTTTTTATTTATCATTATTTTAAACTGCCTGTGACATTCTTCCGAATCCTGTCGTGCGCAGCATTTTCTTTATTTTTTTATTTTTTTTCCCCACTACCGTACTGGCCTTCCAACTGTGATTGGTTTCTTTTTTTTTTTTTGGGGGGGGGGCGTAGATATCTTGTCATTGGCGAATCGGTGGTCAATATCTGTTGTTTGTTTTGTTTGTTCATCACCTCCTCGCTCCTTCCTCCTCTTCCTCCTCCTCCAGCCCTTTGGCGGAGATATTTCATCCGAAATGGTATCATATATCACTTTAATGTATATCCATTCCCACAAGATAATCCTCCGGCCCTCCCAGTATGGGAGCCAAAATGAGATGGTTCAGTGGCACAGACATGATGGTATAATACCAGCAGACTTGGTTTTCCCCAGACTCCCAAGTTCAATTCACCCTTTTGATGATACTGTCGTCAAAGGGGATGGATGGATGGATGGGTGGGTGGGTGGATGGGGGCTGGACAGGTTATGACGGAAGGGACACAGGGCATTGTACGATACGAGTATCATATCGTATCATACAAAAGGTCAAGCGTTAGTTTCCTTGTCCGCCCTCACACCTCTACCCCGGCCCTCTCTCCACGAACATGTGGTAGCGCTCAGGGAGGGTGTACTAGTACAAGTATGTATGATAGCATAAGGAATTAATGATATCATGGACCTTTTTGATGTTGAAGGCTTAGTGAGTGAGCTTTTTGGAAAAGGGGTCGTTGTGTAGTGGGCGAATTCGCGGATCCCTTGTCCCGTTTATCAGTTTTTACTCGTTTCGACCCGGAAAGGGAGGGAGGGGAGGAAGAAAGAAAGAAAGAAAGAAAGGCACCTTCTGTTTACTGCAATCCGGCCATCTATTTATCTATCTATCACCTTGTCAGAGTAATATTCCTTCTCATTATATGGCAGGGTAGGATATGAATAGCAACTAACTTGGTAAGACCCATTTGGCCTGCCGTCCAAAAAAAAAACAAAGAAAAAAACAATTCTCCTAAAGATGGATCGTGGACTGAAGTAAATAATGAAAATTTGGCGCGTTTGGCGATATAAAGGTTCTGAACATTTTTCATCAACAAAAATACTTTAAGGGGACGAATTTAAAAGCACTGTTTCCCATCTCGTTTTCGTTCCTGATTTATCGATTCACACAAATGGGGTATGATATGATGCTGTAAATAAGAATGGAGTGAACAAAAGGCGGAGACAAATTTGCACTAAACCTTTCATCAACATTAATTTTTCGATCCAATAATTTGAAATGAAATAATATACGGTATCATACTCGAGTACTGTATCATACTCAACATCTTACTTGGACAAACCTTAGATTACAGGAACCACTCTAATACCGTATATGTGCCGTGCACCTTTTCGCCGCAATCAGATATCATACCAAGATTTGTACAGTACTCGCACAAGTACAGATCGCTAAACATTCCCCGGTAATTGAAAAACAATTTTGTACCCCATCCTGGCACCCATCCTATATTGATATTTTCCTTTAATTTCTTTTTAAAAAAAGATAATTTACGTGAAACGAAAAACACTTCATCCCATCTTAATAAATCAAATCATTGTGTCACGGCGTATCACCCCCACGCACGACGGATAGTGACGGGTTCGTATCCCCCTGGTGAAGGGCAATATTAGCGTCATGGCGCCAGTGCCGGTTTCCCAGTTAGCGTGAGGGAGGGAGGGAGGAATAAGCAAAATGGATGTAAATACCGGTATCGCACCGGGCCAGAATGGAGAAAGTCTTACACCTCCGCAGGGGTGTTGGACGAATGTGGGGTGCTGTGCACCGGGGCCAGAATGAGGATTTGGAGTGGCGGAGGGGGTCCGTTCAGGGGAGGAAGAGGGAAGTGTGGCCTCCCACTGTTGACATGAATGTGGAAGAGAATGCAGGAGGATTGAGAGACTGTGTTATTGGATGGGAGTACCGGTACTAGCACGAGCGGGATGAGTGAAGGGAAGGTTAACTCGTGGTTCGTGGTCACTCTTGACAATCTCACTATTTTCGTCCCTTTGTAGAGGTGGGGGTGGAGCGGGTATTTTGTGTACCTACGCTTTGATAGGCATACCGTGAATACAGAGTACTGTACTCGTACTTGTAGAAGGTTTCCCTAGCATCACGTAGATACCCAGGAACGAAGCGTGGGATATGATACCTGATTCTTTGCCTAGCTTCATCACGGAAGAAGGTAGATTCAGAGTTCTATTGCCTGCTCCAGGTTCCTCTGGACCACCGTTAAAACTCGAATACCGATACCGGAGTCGAACAGTGTGATGTGTAGTCGAGAATTCCCTACTCTGGAGAAGGGGGCTGGAAACACAACCTGAGAAAAAAAAAAAAGAGCCGCTCAAACCCCTTCCCGAGAGGCATAAAAAACAAACAGGGCCTTACCAGAGAAGGCAACTCCAACGACATAGCACCTACGAATAGTTCGATTACTCGAGTCTTCACTGTAGACATCCTGCTAAATCTGAAATATCCTCAAGAAAACCACCTCAATAAGTGGATTCCTACTCTAGCCTATTTCGCTCATCTTCTATTTTTCTCACACCCTCAACCCCACGAACACGAACTCGGAAACAGCAAACGCTGACGCCGGGATCATGGCATAGCGGTACTCGAGTATAACATCACGGTCTCGGAAAGCTTAGGCCCCGTTTGGCACGCCATAAACATGGCATTTTTGTTTTCATCACAACCATCAGTGAGACCGCTGCTGTATGGATATGGCTTTTCATGTGCGCCCTGTGGTCAAAAAGGGGGTTCTAGTTTTGGTGAGAATTGGATTTTCGAGAAGAATGGCGTTTTTTTATATTGTGGCGTGCCAAATCGGGCTTTTAGCTTTCCCAGGGGTTCAAGTTAACTTCACGTGACGGACAATAATAATTCTCCGAGAGAGAAAGGGAAAAAAGGGGCCCCATGCAAGTCAAAGGGGGGAGGACACACAGGACAGGGCCTGGTATCATAATGCAGTCAAAGCCAGGCGTTGGGCCCGAAGGGCCTAGTTTGGAGACATGTGAGCCTTTTTGCCAGCGGCCCCTTGTAAAACTCTGAAAAGGCGGGTTATAGCTGTGTCTCTGGTATGATAATATTATGATATTCTGGATCTTGATGATCAGACGACATGTTTATCCTGCAAGACCTTATGAGTGAGGACAGGGAGTCAACGTGGACCTCATCCGATCCTCCAACGGCACCGGAAATCTCTGGCACCACGGGGATCGGCTATGCGGGAACAAGGTGGCTTAGGGAAGTTTTGAGACATGAACACCATCAAGACCCAAACCGACCCCGCCCACCATTGCACGAGTATCTGATGATATTCAGCGGTCTGCCCCACTGACGCCATGCACAAATACTCCGAGCTCCTTTCCTACCGGTATGGGCAGCCTAGTGCGCATTTACCCTTTATGTACTCGTACTGATACCCTTGACGTCTCAGTTCCCCTAAACACAAGAACAGCGTAAGGGCCTTCGATTCCCCATTACCCGGAGCATAGTTGACAAAGTGACGCGAGCTCTCTCCCAGGGATCTCGTCCTGCCCCCCCAGGGACAACACGTGCAAATGAACAGACCCCGCCCCCTCTAAGTATCGTCGCCGAATGGAGCATCTCCACCCAGAAAACCACAAATGCTCACCCTGCACATAGTCGCGATTCATGACACCCACCCACAATCACTCCGTAAGAAAAGGTATTCGTGGGACGGAATTCCTCCCTAGGAACGGAACGCGCCCCCCTACTCGAGCACTGTACTAGTACTCGTACCGGTACGAGTACTGTACATAGGCCAATGGCGCAATACCCCCTAGTCCACCAATATCCCCGCCGGGGAGAAACACCGTTTCACAAACACTTTTTGCCGGATGGCTGTACCTGCCCTCGATACGTCGAAAACCTCCTCCCCTCCCAATATCGATAGCACTTGAAAATCAAGTACCGCATTCCTCACGTCCTCAATGGCACAACCCCTCCTCCCTCCCCGGTACATACACGCCAGCCGTTCCCCCGACCGTGAGGGGTGTAGAGACCAATTCCCCCAGAGCTTTGGGATGTTGTGCACGGTGGTATCGAGCTAGCCGCCGTGGCATCCGGAATCGATGAGCACCGGAGGAAAGTGAAAGAGGTACGATACCAAACGGATTTGGTTTCTAATCCGTCTCGGGACGAAGCGATGGAAACGGCTAGTGCATATTGACATCGGAAGAAGCTGAATGCACCAGCGCGAAGGTGCAGTAGTACTCGAGTAAACATCTGTAGTATATAACATGGGAAATACCTGTTTGGGCCGTTAGGTGCATATGTTAGCCAGTGAGATACCGTAGTCGTTTACTGTGCGGTGCACCCCGTCAGTATGCCGCCGTGACTCTTTAGGTCTTCCAGGTTTGAGGGTGTGTACGAGTACTAGTCAGCACACGTGCTTTCCAAGTACCAAGAAGTGTAATGGTGAGTATCCTTCCCCGGTTGGCGCTGGACAATCATCTTCTCGGGCAACACACAACGGACGGGTAAGCGATTCCCCTCTCTCTCGCCTCGAGGTCCGTTTGCAAGAAGTGGTGGTGGTCGCGGGATGCCATCTACCGTACCCGGGCAATCAATCAGAGGGACGGTCTCGCCTTGCCAGATTTTGTTTCGAATTACTCGGTCTCGACCACCTATCAATCGGAGGGATATGGCACTCATATGGGCAAGCACGGCATGGAAATTTGGTTTTTATTTTGCGAATCTGTGCTCGTGCATACAGTATGGGCACCGTTGGCCAAACACTATACTCCCTTCACACCGCCAAGACAAGAGTGACACATCATGAGTCTGCAGCAAAGTATTTCATTTATTTATTCGGACCGAGAGCAGAAGAAGCAAGGAGAAAAAAAAATAACTAGACTAAGTTATGCTAAGTAGATAGACTAGACTGGAGTATAACTTTCACCGCCCTGTAGAGATCCTCCTGCCTGTGTAGACGTAAACAACTCCCCGTTAAGAGGGGGTGTGGAGAAATAAGGGAAGAGGCTGGAGAAAATATAACTACAGACAAGAGACTAGGATACAAGAGCAAAAAGTCGTGGTGGAGAGTTTTGTGTCACAGAAAAGTTAAAAAAGATTTTTTGGATTTTGGTCATTAGGTTTGCCCTCAAAGCGTGAGGTGAGGGTGATCGAGGAAAATATAGCAAAAGAGGGGGACAGTAAGGGGAAGCCATGGCAAATTTCTGTTTACTGGGTTTGCAAACTAATAAGCCTATCCTCTGAATGTTAGATCTACCTAGAAAAAAAGAACACGGGCATTTAGCATGGCTTAAAAGACATCTCAGATGCTTGCCCGGGAAACTCATACCTGTGCTGGGGTAGTCTGTGGTTGCTCCCCTTGTTGTTGGAAGTACTTGGTATAAGGATTTTCGCCTCTACGAATGGCAGCCTCATCAATTTCAACTCCGGGATGGCCATTCTCCATCATGAGACGGCGGTCAGTTGTGGACTCTTTCCCATCCTCGGCTAGCTTCGATTTGTTCACAGATTGAACAGAGAAAGGTCTATAGAAAGCGACAGCGTTAGCGATGAAAACATATGAGGGTAGATAGGAAGGAAGGAGAAATGAGTAGGTGAGCATACTAGTGTAAAGGGATACATGGGGAAGAATAACGCAAGCTTGCTAGGGAAAGAATTATAATACAATGAATGGGATAAGGTTTACAGGGGATTGCTAGGTCAGAAGAGTGGATCAAACCGACATGGGGAGAAGGGGAGGAGAGGAATGATTTGCTCAGTTAGAAGTTAATTCGGTGCCCGATGGGGCAAGCCCATTAGGCTTCGTCGCGGATGGAGTGACGAATTGAAGTCACAAAACCTGTCCTGTGAGGCGCTGGGCTCGAGGGGGGGGGGACAAGGGAGGGATTCAAGAAGGGAGAAATTATTTGACTTGCCCATTGACCTCACGATCTAATACCATGTACTCCTTAGCAGCATCTTTACCGCCGCGCTCCAACAGATATACCATGTAGAAGTGCGTCAAATCCTTGATGGCGATTGGTGGAAGATGACTCTTCTTACGGATATCATCAACTACCTGGCGGATCCTATCATGATTCTGGTGTTCTGTCTCGGCGCTTGTTGGTTGCTCCATCTCAAACTGTAAATAGTTGATCCAGAAGTATCTGCTGTCAAGGTACCAATGGTGATTTTTTTGGTAAACCTGGCGTGCTTCATCAACGCTACCCTTGATTTTCCACAGAAGGCGGGCCCATTCTGCAGTAAGAGCACCCTTTGCGTAGATGTCACATTTGTCGCTTTCAATCTGGGCTCGGTAGATGGCGATTGCGGCGTCAAGTCCGCCCTGTCTGCGATCAAGGTTCGCCCAGGCTACAATTGTCTCAATGTGTCCAGGCACTAGAGGCAATTAGTCATATCCGGTAAGAAAATATGGTAGTCCTTACGCTGCTCAAGAATGGATTCCAAGACTGCTCTCGCCATGTCAACCCTCCCTTGGGACTCCTCGAAATGCGCGTACTGGATTCGGATACCCGGTCGCCTAGAAGAAGTTAGCATAATGCTGGTAAGATGATAAGGCGCAAGCCATACGTGATGGGCACGAAAGCCATGCTAGCTCTCTGGTAAATGTTTCTGACTTCTTCCTCTTTACCATCCTGGGCGGACATCCATCTCGCATAACGATACCAGAATTCATCATAAAATGCAGCGGTAACAAGACAACGCTCGTAAAGAAATTGTGTTCTAGTGAAATCACCCTCCACCTCTTCGAAATCAAGATATTTCCGCCAATTCACCAATTGCGGCTCATCCAGTTCGTTGACATGGAAGTATGGGCGTTTGATTTCGGACTCGTAAGTCCACCTCTTGGTTGTCTCAGTCTGTGTACGGGAAAATATTTCCAAGTGGAAATTATCAATCCTGACCCTCATCTCCCTCTCAATTTCCAATTCCCCACGCTCCATCTTAATTTGTTGTTGACCGGCCTGAACAGCGGCCGGGGGCTCTGCCATTACCTCTTGCCTAAACTGGGCTAGGGTATCCGAGGGTAGCAACTCCTCGAGAGGACGGGTCTGGGCCAGTTGGCGGAAACGTTCGAAATAACGGGCATACTGGTGCATAGGAATATGAATGACACGGTCTAGAATGGCAACTATTTTGTCCTCGCATTCCAATCGTTCTTCGAATTCAATATACTTGTCCCAAAAGGGATGGGCAAGAAAGTCCAAGCCAACTGAATTCGCACCACGCTCGAACAACCTGCAAAGTAAGGATCAGTAAACAATTTTGCAGTGTATATAGAGTGAAAATTTGTTAGAAACAAGAAATGAGTAAATACGGGAAAATATTAATTGGTCTTTAATATCCACCAAACCATCGCTTCGAGCTATATATTTCAGTACGCAAAGGCAAAGCAAGGGGCACGAAACTTGATTCTGAGATTATGTGAGATCTCAAATCAAGAGAATATAGCTAGGTTGCAACAGCTCACCAATTGATTCCGACTTTTGTCCGCAACCAGGCATATCGGTAGTGCAAGAATACAAAGAGGGAAATAAGGGAGGGGGACAGTGAAGAGGGGCAATAAGGGAAAGTAGCAGATCCTATTAATTCCCCCCATAGTAGGGGATCGTTTTTAATCATCAAGGACTTACTCTCGGATAACATCGGGATCATGGCTAGTCTCGACTTTGAAATTGCAATAATTGGTCCATAGATCGACAGAGTTGGTAATACTGGCGACTCCACGCTCATATACCTACAAAACAAACAAACCCCTCAAGCATTAGCTTCATCCCTATTCGCTCCGTGTGCGAAAAGCATAGCCTGAGATACCGAGCGAGAGAGCAAAGGAACAACATACCATCTCGGCTGCCTCAGTCCCCGCAATACTAAACTCCAAATCGGCATATTTCTTCCAGTACCCAAAGAGCAATGGGAACCTCGCCAAAAAGCGATCGAAAACCCCTCTAGTAGCAGCGATAGCCTGAGGCGAACTATTGCGAGTCAAACCTCCCTCCAACTGTTCGGTGGTACGGACAAGCTTTTCCCAGGCTTCAAAGTCATCAGGGTCCTCGATGGCAGCACGGTTAGCCTTCTCGTATTCTGCAAATTCGGGTTTGAGATCATCGGTGACGTGGCCAGTCTCCATATAATCAGCCATTTTATATATCGTCACCTATTATTGGTTATTTGAGTGGTATTTTCGTTCGTTTGCAACGGCGGTAAGCGGAGAAGAGGGTGCGAGGGTGCGCGCGCTCTCGACGCGATGCGTGACAGAAGTTTGGGTGGGAGGGAGTTTGTGTCGGGTGGAAGGGGCGGAGATGTGTTGAAAATGATCGTCGAGGCGGGGATAGAGATGAAGTGTCGCGATAGGGCGATGGGAAGGTTGAAGCCAGAATGTTGATGCCAAAGAAAGGAGGCCTGGTGGCTGCCAAGGGCTCAGGGCTCGCTTTCTCTTACCACGTGATGACACCTTTTGAAGTTGGAGCCACTACAAGGTTACCCTCTCTAGCTGCCAAAATACGGTAAATCTACAGCATTTCAATATGACATTGTGGGCATGGTAATTTCGCCTCGGGTGCAACAATGAGCAAAATACAGTTTGAGAAAGGCAGTTATCGGAGCATTGGTATTAACTGGCATCCCCCCCTCAGATAGCATAGCGCGCACGAGGCCCCCTACTATCATAGATAAATTTCATTAAACATTTACCTTGTCCTCTCGTCTCCAGCATACATTAGAGTCTATGAGACCTCCTTCCAAAACCAATTCGGGGGGTGCATATAAAAAAGGGGGTACAAGAGATCTAGACCTTCCGCAGAGGAACAAAAAGGCACCAGCGCATACAAGAAAATAGAAATATATCCCCATAATCACCCAAAGCATTAAAGCCCAACAATCAGCCAACACCTCTCAAAGCGGTGTCATCCGTCACAAAACAATCCCTACATAATCCGGAACACCATCCACCTACCCATCCATATCGACAGGCCCATAGCAATTCCCATCACTTATCATTCTCTGCGATGTCAATCTTCTTGAGCTCGCTTTCAAGGACCGTCTCCTGAGGAACCTCTTTCTTTCCGAAAAAACCGTTCCTAACCCCGTGAGACGCCGGGGCCAACGCCGGGGCCAGCGCCGCATCAGATGAGGAGTGATCGGTGCCAAATCTAGAGAATATGCTCCTTTTCTTGGGCCGTGCATCATCGTTGAGCTTGATGTCTTCGAATTTGTCCTCTTCGACGGGCTCCACATTCTTGGCAACGATTGGCAATCTTGGAGAGCGGACATCGAGACTCGTGCGCGGACCAAGAGGACGCGAGTCGAAGCTAACACGGCCTGGGGGTGGATCTAACACAGGAGACCTCGCAGAGATGTCCTAGGCAAAGATCTCCAATCAGCAAAAAAACAATTCCTTCGATACGATACCGTACAGCGTCGACGCGGGGAGGGAAATCATGAGTGGGGTTGTGGGGAAACACAAAACGGTTGCGTTGAGATAGGGGGTAGTGGTGGGGTGGTGGGGTGAAGGCGACCGACAAATGATCTTCTATAACATTCAAATGATTCTCTCGATATAACAAACGGCTCCTCGACATCGGGAACCTTTGTCTGGGGAGAGTGATCATTCTTCCTCCAAAAACCCTTCTTGTCTGGAGGCGAGGGCTATGAACAAAGGGTAAATTAATTCTCCTGTGCGTCATTGCGAGAAGCCGCCCCACTGCGCGCAAAATGTGGGGAAACTGGGAGGAGGGGGGGGGTTGTCCGTACAGGCAAATAGACACCGCTATCATTAACAACTATTTTCACCAACAAAAAATATCAGCCAACAGCTCGCCCAACTCCACTGCATTGTGAGCGAGAGGGTACAGTATTATCCCTCGCCTCACAACATGTGCCCACTCCAAGCTGCAGGCACAACCGATACAAAAGAAAACAGACGCTGGGATAAAAGGAATAAAGAAGCGAAAAATGAGATATATAATAGATTGCGCGGTATACGCCCGTGCATAAAGCATACAGGAGGGAGGAGGAGGGAGATAACCCACCGCTTAGCTTGTAAGTGTTCTCTTCGTCCTGGCTCTCTTTTCCAATACTGATGGCACTAGCAGACTTTGCCCTCGTACTATGAGCCCTTCCCACCTCGTCGGTGCTCGAGTCAGTTTCGGAAAGGGGAAGTCTCCCAGTGTCCGGGCTGGCGGTAAATTGCTGGTCGGAGAAAGAGTCGAAGCGATTATTGACTAGAGCTGTCGCATTTCTGCGAAAAGGGTTCCGAATAACTGGCATACCGAGTAGCGGAGCTGAGCGATGGAGAGATGGTACTGTGCTGTAACGGTAAGAGTTGGGCCGGATGAAGACGTGGTCGCTTTTTTTCTTTTTCTCTCTTTTTCCCCCTTATTTTCTTCCTCTCAGTCCTCAAATCCTGAATCGCGATTCCGAGAGTATCACTCCAGACTCCAAATTGCAACTAGTATGTGAGTATGTGCCGTATTTAGGTAGAGGTAGAGGTATCGCCCGTGGATGGCAGCCGGGATGAGAGTAGCCACAAATTTTACATGGATTGTATGCGGAGAGACGGAAACCGGAGCGCCCGAATCGCCAGGCTCACTTCTCCCTCCCGCCCTCTCTCTCTCTCTCTCCCTCTATCTTTTTTTTCCCTTTTTTCATCTCTCCTCACATTGCATGCAACTTCTTAGTTAAATTTACTACCGGTACAGTTCCTCAGCTCACCACTCCTCAGTCTTGGTTGTGCCAAGACTTTCCACTGGCGGCCTTCTGATGCCGGTAGCTGTAACTCTGATAAAATACTTTATTACAGCACGATATCAGTACTAGCACAGTGCCTGTAGGAGAGAAACTTTGAAATTTAAGCCTCGCTTCATTTAGTGTCTACAAGCGGCCGCAGCGCACGAGTTATGGTACCCTATCAGAAGATACTTTGCTCATCATAATATCATGGCATACGTTAGTACTGTAACAATTTAACGGAGGCGCCCCAAGACCCGAAAGCTCTGAGGCACCCCATCGCCAGGTGTAAAGTTCGAGTACCGGTGCTTTCACTCCCCTGCTACCCCATACGAGGCATAAGAAGTCGACGCCTTATGTACAAGTACGAGTACCCACGTACCGATACGCTATCCCCCAGTTTTGACATATTCTCCAACCTCTCTCTCTCCCCCCTCCAAACCAGGTAACCTCCTCCAAATCGGGTAGTGAGGTCCCTCTTGGGATCGGCTTTATCGCAATGCACCCACCTAGACTAACCATTCAGCAATGGGATAGCTACCCATTTCACCCCCGACTGGTGCATACGGAACGAATGATGATGGGCTGGGGGGTTTCGGAAAAAGGAATTACAAAGTACAACTCAGCGTCGAAATGTTTACTTTTCATCCTCTGTTGGATCCCTCCAAAAGATGGTCGCATACAGCCTCAACTAAACGCCACCTGCCACCACCAGGCACCGAGCAGTTAAGAGCACAAATGTTGCACATAGTGCTAATCTCGTGGGGTGCTCATGTCGAATACAACACACGCGTATCTGCGACACAACCATTGAAATGTCTCCACTCTCTCTACAGCCCCTGGTAGAAAAAATCGGGAAACAGGGGGGGGTTGACAGGAGAGCAGGCTGGGGGGTAAGACATATCAGAATTTCTAATTAAACTTTAAATTGCAGGAGAATCACCACCGCCATGCACACTCACAACTCACCACCAGGTGTGTCCCCCATTGGCACTAAGGACAGCTTGAATCCTTTCAGGCATACTATCCACTATTTTCACAATTTCCTCCATTGTGATCTTGTTCCATTCATCAATTACGGCTTCTTTGACCTGGGTATGGCCTCTGGGTCATGGCTGGCACTAGTTGACAAGTGTCTTGATGAGGTTCCATATATTTTCTATGGGGTTAAGATCCAGTAATGCTGGTAGCCATCTGAGGGAAGGGATTCTGTAGAGATCGCGATAGGACTAAGTAAGGCAGGCCCGGTAGGAGGATGCTCCATCCTCCATTAGCCAAAGAGAGGAATCCACATGCCAACTCTTGTGATACTAAAATGGCCAAATTGTAGGGACCAAGATGTGATGAATATAGGTTTTGGCAGAGATAGTACCCCAATCATCATCCTCCCAAATGATCAGAATCTTCTTTCCACTGTCCCCCAATATACCCCCCCAAATTATGATCGAATCCTCCTTCTGAAATCTCAGGACCAAACAATCCTCATGCCACTCCTCCCCTACTGCCCTTGTCACATACACCTTGCCTTACAATCCACTCAACCAAACATAACATTCATCCATTCATATTACATGCCTCTACTCCCGTATACCCCAATGACTATGGCTTTGGGCGAATGTAAGGTGCTTTGCACGCTTGATGTCGTCCAAATAAGGCTTGCAGCAGGCGGAACGTCGATGGTAGCCCTCCTTAGCAAAGGCATTTCGTAGTGCTCTCTTACTAGCCTCAATGCCTAGCTCTTAGGCGATATCAACTAGATGGATTCGACAGTGTTCTACATCTGAGGTAGCTAATGCTACCAGCGCTCGTCTCTGTGGGGTGTTGAGCTTAAGCTTTCGGCCAACATGGAACTTCTTTTGTGGTATAGTTGGCTGGCTGCACATCTAGGAAACTGTCGATACTGGTACTCCCTGATTGTTTGTGATTTGTTGAAGTTTCCACTCTGCTGTGAACCTCAAGGCATGAATTGTGCATCATTGTTTATAGGTAAGGTCGCCCATTTTAGCAGTTGCCTGGTATCAGATGATGGAAATCTTGCTTCCTTCCCTTGCTTAAGTACTTCATACGTTCTTACAGCCAATAAGGACCCTGGTTCTGCACTGACTTGCCCAGACTCTGCACTGACTTTGCACGGACACTGCACGGCCGATTTATTTCTAGATTTCCCGATTTTTTCGAACGGGGGCTGTACTGGTACTCGAGTATAGTACGGTACCGTACTCGAGCGCTAACCCGTTCTCCGTCATGTCAGACACGGCTGGGGAACTCGTCAAAAAGGGCCCAAAGTAGCACATCATCGTCCTGTGTGGACTCCAACATCGTGGCCCGGCGGAAACCACAGGGTTATGGCGTAGTGTACCGTGCCATTACTGGGAAGGAAAAAAGGAGGAACGGGGAAGGAGAAAAATAAATAAATACATGACTGAGGGGAAGAGGAAGATAAAAGAACCGAAAAATATTACAGCCAGAACGAGGGGGGATAGATAAGGTCTCTCTGTCACGCTACCGAGCTGAAATGTTATGTGATCAAATATTTCAAACTCTTGAGATGGTCAGAATCTAACGGAGTCACCGGTACCGGTACCGGTATTATTTCCCGAGGGAACGTTGAACGAGTGCAGAAAAGCAGTAAGCACAGCTCGTGCAATGGTCTGCGTCCAACCACGGTAGCCGATGAATTGCACTCGATGATTCGAAGCCGAGGAAGGGAAAGAAAGGAAGGGGAAAAAGAAAGGGGGAATATCCTTGTGGCTTTGGTAGGGGGTGGGGGGTGGGAGGTGGGAGCATTTCGTCATTTGTGTCTAGTACTGTACTGCACGGGTACTCGTACTCGAGTACTCGAGTATCCTAGCAACGGCCGTGCCTTCGAGGCTGGAACCACTCGGATCAGAGCAAGCAAGAGTGTGAGTGTTTGTTAAAAAAAGGTCTTGGGTGGGACGGGAGTCAATTGCTTGGCCGTGCCAACCATCATACTTCCAGTGCCGATAATCTTATCCTATTTGTAGAGTTGAGGTGGAAGAGATGGCCTTTACCGTTATTCCACCTTGCTGAAGATCCAGTTTGCTAGACACGGGCCCCGCCAAGCATGGCCAAGCACTCTGGAGGCAATACCCGCCTTGATCGCCATCAGTGAACCGTCCAATTGCACCAGACACGCTATCATAGATTCGGTCCCCGTACTTACTTGTAGTACTAGTACGGTACTAGTACCGGTACTCCAAGTAAATTAGCATCTAAAATAAAGTTACTCGCTCGGCCAAGATGAAGTCGGGCAGTCAGGCACAGAAATCGATCGGTGGGCCAATCGCACCAAAGGATACCGGCACAGTACTATGCTCAATATCTTTGCTCGCTGGTTGGCTGCCAGATGACTAAGGTCACCACCGCGCGCCACTTCCACTCGGCCGCGGGAGTATCATACGGTATCATACCTACAAGTGTATATAATAAGGGAGAAAAGGGAAAACCCCGCGGGTTTTTCTTACTGGAGGTTTTTTTAGAACCAAAGTAGTATGCCATCATTCCCTGTAATTTTCTACGATTTTTTTTCGTTCCGACGCTTCTAGTCTTACGCTGAGTTACTCACTCCACGGGTGCTCTGTTGTGCGAAATGGTATTCCCTGGGTTCGCCCTGTCTGATCGGAACTTGTCGTCCAAAGCCTTCCCTTGGCTCTTTAGGCTCCAATGGTCTGCCGCATTGTCCGACTTCAGATGTTCGAGAGGGCAGGATGCTACTGTACTAGCGCTATTTGTAGAAGCTGAAATTTCGGCCTGAGAGATAAAAAATTTTCGTGAACTTTTCCCCCATACCGCTTCGGAGCCTTGTGTATTGTACTGTAGTAGGGCGATGATGACATGGTTGTAAACACGCACGTAACGGCTCATTGACACAGACCGGACATTACAACCCGGGTGAAACGAGGTAAAAATTTCCCCAAGTAGCTTCAAACATGAGGAGATTGCTGCCGATCCATCCATCAGCTCGTGTAGGGGAGAAGGCCGGACTTTAAAGCACTTATTATTATTACTCTTGAGTAAGAATCCCTTTGTATGGGCACTCGTTTGTTAGAAATTTGCACTGGGGCGGGGACAGCAACCTTGTATGGTACTGTACTTGTACCGGTACCGGTAGTACATGATCCCGATTTGGAAGAACCCCTCTCATGTTGCACAGGAATCTTTTGCTACCGTCAAGGTCCTTCCCCGTAACCACATCACACCCACTTACCCAGAATAAAGTGAATACAGTAAACTGCAGAGAGAACTCCCCTTTTTGCGCAAAATTAACCTTCTGGTGATCGGGGAGGGGGGGAGGTGGTTGCCGATCCGCATGGCCAGCGAGGAGAATTGATACTGTGCTGTACGAGTACCTGTAATCATCCAACCAGTGGACCGCTTGCTTCTCTCTTCCCTCGCTACTTTTTTTCGTTCCCTGTCTGTCACCTTTACTCCCCTAATCAAGTATCCATCTGTAGCTTAGCTCGGGTTTTTAAAAATCAAGAGCCCCAAATATTTCTCTTGCGACTTGGTACTTGCGCTGCACACTGCACAGTTGAAAAGTTGCACTTCGTGCGTGCATTATAATTTTTCTTTTCTTTTTCTTTCTTCTCTCTTTACTCGTACTATGAAGACCCCCCTCCCCCTACCCATATGATTCCCCTTCCTTTCCCTTCGGGGTGATTTCTATCCCCATATGGGCCACAGCATGACACCAACTGTGGCCCCCAGTTCACACCTTGTACTTGAGTACCTGTGCCGATACTAGCGAAGTACTGTACTGTACCGTAGCTTGCTTGTGAGGATACACGTTCCCTCGGGCTGGGTACCGTACTCGTTCCTTCTGGTTTCCCTTTCCCTTGTCCTGTCGTACAAAGCATGCAAAGAACAATTGTTTTCATGCTGCTCTTTCCAAGCACTTCCTTCCTTCCGTTCATCTGAGCCACCGGGGGACCCTCTCTTTCCCCCTCTCATCTTGTACCTACTCTAAATTACCTTGCTCTTAGGCTAGGCTGTGTTGGGTAGCCCCATTTATTTAGGGCAAATTGTGTACAGGTCCTGTGTTGTGCTGCCTATGGTACCGCGAAATGGTGATGCATGCGTTGCGAGTGCCTATTCAAACCGACTTACCCTTACCAATCCAATATAGAGTAGGTACCCAGAACGAGAATGTTCTTTGTTGTCAATTCCCCCCCGGTAGTTGATATGGGTGCCATGGGGAGCCGAAAGGTACATACAGCAAGGTTTTGATTACTTTTTTTTTTTTTTTTCCTCTCTCCTCTTTTCCTTCGGTTCTCCGGGGATGGGGGGTGAGACGGGGAAATATCTGGGTTGAGTATGATGCTCCAATGCACGGCTACAAGTATGGTGCAAGAGTTCCAATGTGACACTGATTTCCGAACATTATCACTCGATACCGTTCTGTTATAGGAGGTACCAAGCCAATACTTTGTCCTTTCAGCTCCTGCGACTATGTTTTCACCTAGTTGCCGGCTCCGAATTCTGGGAAACAGATAATCAAGCATGCGATATCTACAGTACATGAACTTCAGCGGAGCGCTTCTCATCCCCTTCTCCCTCTCTCTTTTTTCTTTTTTTTTTTTTCGTTCTCAATTTTCGCCTTTGGGGTAGGATTTACTTTTCTTGACTCAAGATCTCATCGTGCATCGCTACCACGCATTTCACTTGTTTCCTGCCAACACTTTCTGCACCTTCATCTATCAAGTTATCCCATCAAGGCTTCAGCCTTCAACTCAATAAAGTTATTACGCAGCCAGTAATAACACAATTACCTTAGTTTTCAGGTCCGGATCTTGCAGAGCCGAGCACAGCCATAGACAGCCATAGACGAGTCCGAGAGGCTTTGGAGGGGGCAGGAAGGGAAAGAGAGAGAGAAAAAAAAAATACTGGATCTCATCGAAGGTGCCACAGGGGCAAACTGTCCAGCCGTGTTGGCCTCCAGATTGACTCTTCAGATTAACCAAAATCTATATCAGAGACACCGCCGACACGAACAGGGTAGCTTCCGGCCTGCAACACCAATCGGCTCGCTTCTGTATTACTAAATCCCACGCTGTTCATCAATCAAAGTCGTCGACCCTGTTTCCGTCGCTGTCCCTTGCGCCTTTCGTTGCTTGCCTGGTTGCTGATTCCTCAGTTTACTCTACTACCGGTACCGGTAGAGAGTACTCGTACTGTACCACCTCACCGTCTCTTCTCTTTAACACTCCCCCTCGCTCGTTCTCCACACCCCCCCATCTCTCTTCAACCCCCCCCCCCCCAATCTCTCCCTCTTTCTTTTTTTCTTCTTCTCTTCTAATCTTCCCCTCTCTCCCTCTTACCGAACTGTGCAATCGCTTTGTCCACTGCACTCGTTGTTCGACCTTTACGCCCATTACCATCGTTACTATCTCTTTACAGTCGCTACAGCCGAGATTAATAAACTGTAACTCTACTGTTACAACATAATATAATATAGTATGTGTGCTTTCCTTCATCTATCCTCCTTTATATGCAGTTGCAATTTAATAGTTATGCTTTTGTGTTCTGCACATGTTTCCTGCTGACACTAAATCATTCCCTAGGAGCCCTATATCCTGCAACTTCCCTTCCGCTGCTCGATAGCTCTACTCTGTTATAGGTTGTTGAGGCTTATCTCAGCGTCTGTGGAAATACAATTGTAGTGAGGATTGTTTGCCGATCCCTCTTATAAAACTTAATTGTGTCGGAAGTCTGTCGATTCGCTGGAAAACCTTGAGGGCGGGTCAATTGCTCGTTTCCTGGTTTTCGGTATTCAACCCAGTCTCAGAAATCACTTCTTCCGCTAGTCTGTTACCGAAGCCAATCAGAGACTGTCAAGATGAGTTTCTGGGATCATATGGAGTTGTGGGAGAAGATGTTGCTTGTAGGTACACCCGAGGCTGAGGATTGATGTGTTCACGAGCTAACAAACATTGCTGCCTTAGTTATTAGCTATTGGGATGGTACGATCATGTGTGGCGCTGTCCTGATTGTGACGATACTGATTCGACGTTTTTTTCTTCTGTAGGTTTGTGTACTGTTCGCAGGGGTTAGCAAGATGACCTATACCAAACTTCGAGTGAGGAAGTATGCGAAGAAGGCCGAAGCAAGGAGGTCACATTTGCAGAACATGCGAGAGAGTCGCCATGTGATCGATCTTAGATCCGACGAGATTCCATTTGGTATCAGAGCCATCGAGGCTGGCATTGAAGTTGAGGGCGTTGTAATATCACGCCCCCCTACACCAACCAGGGCCAGCTACAATCCGAGCCAGGTTACTCTTGTGGCATCCGACGCTGACAGCATGAAATCACGCGGGCAATGTCCTCCAAGCCCGAGGTCAGCACAGGGCTTCTATGGAACTTCCGCTCCAATGAAACAGATGGCACGAGGAGGACCAATGGTATACCAGCCCAGTCCTTATCTACCGATGCCGTCCCCAACACATCACTCTGGGGCGTCTTCAATCCGCTCGAGTGCTTCTTCCGTTGCTTCGACTGCTACACCGACTCCGCCTCTTACTCGCGTATCCTCATCTGAGAAATTGGGTAGAGGGTCGTTTTCAGAAGGTGCTGATGGAGGATTCTTGGACGGGGTTCGCGGTGCACCTACAAGGGCTACTACGATACCGGATACTTTGGCAAGGTTGGAAGGCAGGACGACTTCGCCAGCGCTTGAACATCGTAGGAGCACTGGATCACGGCACCACCGGACCCATAGCAGGACCCCCAGCCCTCCGGAGGGTCCGGGGTCCCCAGCACTACCGTCGGTTGATGAGAATGAGATATCGGAGGGATCATCTCGTGCATCTGACTCTAGTGTAGAGAGTATGGTAGGAGCCGCACAGCCACGCCTAGTCTCGACCTATTCTACGCCGATACTGCCAACAATGCACCGAATTTCTCAGCCACTGCCGGAGGGTGTGCAAGGGGACCTCTCCCTCCTTCATGAGCACCGGTTGTCCCACGCAGCCGAGGTCGGGCAGCTTCTCCCCCGCCGTCGCGATACGCTTAGGAATTCACAGATTGTTGGTAACCCTGTGGCTGAGTCTCCCTCCTCGTATTATTCCCCGGCCACTTCGGACAGAGTATATGCCTTGGATATTGCGATTCCACCAGCAATGCCAGGGGTCGATGGCCTTCAGTTTCCGGCACCTGCGGTCACGGTTGGATCATCGGCGAGACCTGAGCGGATAAGATGGTTGTCCGATCCAGCGTCTGGTGCGAGCGATGAGCCAATGTTTGACGGTCCGTGGTTATCCAAGCCAGGGGGCAATGATGACACGGATGGTTCCGCTTCCCCAAAGACGGCCGATCAATCTGGTCCAACCACGCCAAAATCCAAAGTGCCGGCGGATTCCTCATCCGATTCAGAACCGGCCAAACAGAAACCTAAAAGGTTACAAAAGAGGAATAGGAAGAGCCGCGGTAGCCCGTCCCGGAGCTCGGCTACGGATGTCGACTTGGAGGCCCAACGATAATGGGCGAAGAAGGAAGACGATTTGCATCTATTTTGGACGGTTGGGTTTTTTGCATTTTATTTCCCTTACTATTCGTTTCTTACCCTCATTTGCACTTTACGGCGTTTGTTTCACTTTTTTTACACTTTCATGACCGCAACGCTATTGGATTTTGATGAACGCCTATGAGTTCTTCCTCGTTGGTCCGAGCGAGAAGCCGGCAATACACGTGAGAATTAGGGAGGGGATCATTAGGCTCCACACAACCTGGCTGGTTTTTTGTTTAAGAGAAAAGGTCGAGCAGGTTTTATTATGATTTAACTTTTTTTTTTTTTTTTTTACCTCTTTCTTTCCATTTCCTTCTCGTTTAGTTTTTCTATCTCCACGTTGGTCTGCTACCAGATTATTGGAGTACGGGCCAACCTTAATATCAGGATATTTACCACACGTCTATCCAACCGGTTACGATGGCTGGTTGGCAGGTAAACAATAGCAATAACAAGGAGGAGGTGGAAACAGGGTAAAAGAGCAAAAAAAAACTCTAAATTCTGACTTGGCTCTTGTTCTTTCACTTTTTTCATTTATCTATCTATTTGTTATTATTATTTTCCTTTGGACTGTTGTGTGAAGTGAGCCGAGCCGGCTTGGGCGGGTTCAGGAAGAGCAGAAGATCAGCGACAGGGATAGAGGTTGGTTATTGCAGCGCCCCACAGCATCAATCTTGTCGCTGTTCGCAAGGGCAAACGGGAATTTCCTAAATAAAAAGTGGGGCAGGAATGGTGGAGCTTACTCGAGTACACTGCTTGTACTCCTCTGTACCATAGCACCTACATACTCATACATGACCGTATCACACAGAACTGTACTCGCACTGTACAGTACCATACTCTGCTGCAAGTGCCGTGAGTTACGTGCGTTGCGGGCGCACAGTGGGTGAGGGGTGAGCCGAGAAGTGTTTTTTTCTTCTTCTTTCCGCCCCATCACCATTCTTATTCATCACCGGTAGTACTATATAGTATGTACGAGTATGATACTTTATTGTATCCTTATCGTATCGTATCCAAGGGCGTTCCCTTGTCATTTCGATTCGTTTCTTTTTCTGCCCCTTCCATCCATCCATCGCAGCTGGAGGGTGAGCCCCCTGCACCGTGGGGTCCTCGTGCTTGCACTTGGGGAAGCCAAATGGATGGACGGGTTCGAAAATGATTGGCGAGTTTTCTGCACTTTTTGTGAGTGGAGTACTAGTACTGTGCCGGTACTCGATGTACCGGTGGATAATTAAGTAGGTACTATACAGTACAGGTTGCTTTTTTTTAGTATTTTTTTTTTCCCCTTTCCTTTTCGCTGGGATGGGATGAATGGGAGGAACACGGTACTCGTAGTATAGTGTAATCTACAATAATCAACGATAGTAACTTTCAAGTATATTGTGGCATGGGGTGGATGGAGGGGCTGAGGCTGAACAATAAATCAAAACTAGAATTGGAAAAAGGATGCCGTGCCTAACAGTAGTGTACAGTACCCCTCGTGCCCTAGTCTACACATTATCATGTTTTTTTTATTCCTTCCCCCTTTTGCTTCCAAGATACTACTCTAAGTCTGTTTCTATCCATTATAATTACGATATACCTTTTCACAATTGGTATGTATCATACCAATATGACACTCCCGGTACCGGTATCATACTCCAACTTGTTTCGTATAATAACAATAATAATAACAATAATAATAACAATAATAACAATATACACCACTTTGTCAGCAATTACTCCACAAACCACGAACGAACGAACGAACGAACCAAAAAAACCCCTTACGGGACGGGTCCTGGCCCGAGGAAGCGTTATGTGTGCCTGCAGTTGTGGTGGTGGGGGGGGGGAAGTGCAGGATTAGGGTAGCTTAGCTTCACCTGACCGTCTTTCTGGACCTGACAGGTACGAGTAGGTACGGTGCAGTTATGATACCGGTACTTCACTTACTATCCACAGTGCTAGCTTGCATACATACGATCTGTCTCACTCACTCACTCCTGGTTGGGTAGTCTAACAAGTTATGTACTGTATCGTATGTATCATATCGTACTGTACTGTGCCAGTGTGTGGGTTAGGTTAGGTTAGGTTAGGTTAGGTTAGGTTAGGTTAGTTTTAGCATCTTCCATCCATCCATCCGAGCCAAGAACAGGTGTGTAAATTACTAGTAGGTGCTAGTGTGTGTGTGTGTGGGAAATCTGATTACTATGATATGATAATATGATATAATACTATATTTTAGTTATGAAGTGGTTACGCATTCCATATTGTAATTTTTATAATCCACCTTTTTCGCAGATACGATATGTCAATCTGGTACCGTGCCGTACTGTAACCGTAAATAATTTTTTTGTTCTTTCTTTTCTGCTGGGTGTGGTCGTATCGTATATATAAAGTACTTGCGGCGGCGGGAACAAGTACTGTACTGTACATGCGGATTTGCTGGTTGGTTGGTATCATGGGTGGGTACTGTACTGTATATCGGGGGGTTCCGATGGGGCTTGTAGAGTACTGTACCGGTACTCATGTGTGTGGGGGGAGTGCATGGTGTTCGCTTTATAGGCTGGATGAACTTTTGGGATATATATCGTACGGGTTACGGGTATGCCCTAGGTAAGATGCGGCGGACGGGCCTTTCGGCGTTAGCGAGGGGAGGGGGGTGGGTTTTTGTGTAGTTGCTTATGTTGGGGGGGGGAGGGGAAAGAGGTGGCTGATAAGCTCTGTTGAGGTATGATACAGTAAGTACTCGAGTGGTATTTTGGAGGACAGGTACGGTAATGTGCAGCTGATGGGAGTGTGTTGTTGTAACCATATGCTTACGGTGTACAGTACATCTACCGTGCTCATATAGCACAGGTTGGTATTGTATATTCCCGTGTGGAACGTAGATCGGAAGGTCAGACAGATCATAGTCCTGTGAAACCCTCGACGAGCAGCAGAACTTTTTACTTCATTTTGTACATACTACCGCTAACTGAGCCAGCTATCATACAGCGCGTCAACTCGCCTCGCTCCCCTTCGCTCCTCCACCTCCTCCTCCCTCCTCCAGTATGCCCAACATGACATTGGCACCTTTATTCCCCGCCTCCTCCGCCGCTTTGCGCAGTTTCTTCCTGTTGAGTGCCTTAACCACTTCCTGTCTCGCTGGGAATCCCTCAGCTTCCAGTAGCGCTACTACGACAAACGACCCCGCACCTGCCGCCCAGGCATTGACATGAGGGCGGATCTGCTCCCACAGGAGGGAGTGGAAATTCAATGGGGGGGTGATTGCTGTTTATGGAGGTCTTGTATTTAGCCTGATTTTCTTCTTCCTTCCGTCCTTTCTGTCTTACCCTACGGGGAAGTAGGGATGTGGGGGGATTGGGTTTGCCTACATATCACCTTATTTTCTTTGGAAGAGTAGTGCCCGCCCGTGACTAGTGTCTTGTACATCCGTCCGACGGCAGCTGTGTTTACGACGTGTGGGTCGTCGCCGTCGTCTGCAGTCTTTGGGTTCCCGGCAGCGGTGCTAGCGAGGGCTTGTAGGGCGGGGGATTTATCGCCTGAATTTTTTTCCGGTTTAGTTAGCCGGTTGCTGGATACTTGCTTGTTTTCCCCGGGCAAAAAGCTTGTTTGGCCTTGTGGGTTTGGGGATTCGTGCCGGTTGGGTGGATTGGCGGACATACCTGTGCTACCGAGTAATACCTCTGTGATGAATTGGCATCCGAAAGAGTCTCGGATTAGTTCTTCTGCGTGCTCGGCGATGCACTGTAGGAACGGCTGGGAGAAGTGAGTTCGGAGTTCACTCTGGCGGGTCGCTGGATCCTTCTTGCTGATTTTTTTGGGGGCATTTTGTCAGCCCTTGATTTTGTTTCTTCCTCAAGTTTCTCCTTTCTTCCGAGACACGTATATATCAAGGGGTCTTGTTATTGTATCCCCCATCGCCGGCATACCATACCGGCAGTGAGGTGGAGAGTGAGAAAAAAAGGAAGTCTAGAGAAGGTGCCATACCTAGTAGACTCGCGGAGCTTTTCTATCTCTTCTAAAACTGCAAGTGCTGGCCGAGGCACCACTCTCGGGTGACGCTCCGAGAATGGGTACAAAAGTGGCGTGCGCCCATACTTGTCGCAAGCAAGCTCCTGCAGCCGCTTCTGGAACTCCGGGAGCAGGCTTTTTACTACCAGGACTGTGTCATCAACTGTCTCGAGGATTGACAGGAGCACGAGGTAGCCGTACTCGCTTCTTGCCAGTGAGATTGCCTCTGGCTTTAGGGCTTTGATCATAACTTTCCGATCCTGGTTATTATTTTCATTAGCCTATGATATCTTAGGGATGACTTTATGCGTGTGTGCGAGAGTATCCACTTGTTATATATAGGCAAGGTCATATATCACTTACCTTTGCGGTTCCTAGGGCCATGCATCTAATGACCACTTGGGATCCGTCTTTGGTAAAGGCAATATCTGCGACATGCTCTTTGACAAGCTCCATGAATTCTGTTGTTTCTGTTGTTCCCGCCCGGGTGTTCAACGTGTATTCCAGCATGGCCTTATGCAGGATGGTGAAGATAGTAGCGCCCTTCTTAATAACACCATGAATCTGGTCGAAAAGACTCTTCATTATAACAGTCCGTTTTTCCGGTGATTTTTCCAAGAGCTCCTTCAAGGAGGGCTTGTGCTTCAAATCCTATATCGACCAATTAACATTAACAACAACCGACATTTCCTCTTGATACTCGTGTGGATGGTGTACCTTGAAAATTGCAAACTCCACGCCATAAAATTCCTGCAATAGCGCAGATTTCTGCTGGGGTGTTGCATACTCTCGGAATACATCCTCAATCACTAATGCTGCTTCACGGTGCTTGGTGAGTTTCCGGACGTGTCCATAGAACTCTTGAACCACCATTTTCCTGTTTTCGGGGGTGCCGTAGTGCAATATCTTGACAACAAGGTACTTTCCATAACTGCCTTTTAATTCAGTCAATGAATTAGTACCGCTACAACTGACGCCATTAGGGGAATGGGGGGGGGGTGAAAGAAGTAAAGGAACTTACTCTGCGCCAAAGAGACATAACTGCCCTTCAGTTCGGTGGTAATATTCGTCTTGGTCGTTTTGTCCCCATACTTCAGCGCAGACTGTACGATTCTTGATGCGTCGTGTCTAAAAACGAGGCCGTTCACACGGCCCTTGATCAACTGGCCTAGTTCAGCAATGAGCTTCTTGCGCTCCTCTGGTGCGAGCTTTGTCCGGCGCAACTGCTCCCAGATGCGCTTGCTGCGGGTGATGATTTCTCCATAGGGTTTTGCGAGTTTGCGTTCGGCGGCGAGGCGCTTTTGTTCCGTGTGCGATTCCTTCGACTTTGAAGCTGGTAATTTGTTAGTTTCGTTCTTTCTTTAGGGCGTCGGACGGGTTTGGACTCACATCCACTTGCTCCGTTCCCTGGATTTTTTGATTTCTCCTTGTCGCCGGTATTCATTTCCTCGTCTTCGTCTGCGTCCTCAATTCCACCAAACTCTTCCTCACTGTCTTCATCGGAATTGCCAATCTCCTCCTCACCCCCCTCATCCGGTTCGTCCGAGTCACTCTCGACAACTCGTGGCGGAAGAACAGATTTTTTGCTCGTTTTGCTCTCGATTTTGGGCTCACTAACTCTCGGCTTCTTGTGAGTAGTCGCCGATTGAGTCTTCTCCTGCTTCCGTTTGCTAGCCCCCATTTTGAATTTGGTGGTTGCTGCTTCTGACAGACGCTCGTAAATGTATCGTAGCAAGCAGAAAGCAAGGTGAGCTAGACACCAAACTTGCCCACAAAAGCTCTTCGGAAAATTATTTTCGTAGCAAGCTAAGGGTTACCCTGCCCTAGAGTCCCACCAACTGAAGAGCCTCAATGTTGAGCACTTGAATTTTTCACAAACTCCCAAGCTCACCGAGCACTACACACTCCCGAACCAACCAAGCGATAGTAGAACAATGCGTCCCCTAACAGACATCGAAACCGAACGTCTCTTCGAAAAGCTCGCAAACTACATCGGCCGAAACATAACTCACCTGATCGACCGTCCCACCGACCCTCACTGTTTCCGAGTCCAGAAGGATCGAGTCTACTACGTCCGCGAATCAATTGCCCGCCTCGCCACTTCCGTCGCTAAGGCGAACCTACTCTCGTTGGGCACTTGCCTAGGCAAGTTTACAAAGACGGGCAAGTTTAAGCTGCATGTCACAGCGCTGGATCATATCGCCTCGCACGCAAAGTATAAGGTGTGGGTGAAGCCGAATGGGGAGATGCCGCTTTTGTACGGGAATAATGTACTCAAGGCGCATGTCGGGAGGATCAGTGAGGATACACCTGAGCATCAGGGGGTTGTCTTCTATTCTATGAATGATACGCCTTTAGTATGGTACTCTCTGTACCCTAGAGATGGGTAATGGGGGCTAATCTGAGCGGTGGTGATCGTAGGGATTTGGAGTTACAGCGAGGTCAACGCATGAGGTGCGTAGGCTAGATCCCACCAGTATCACAGCGTTTAGGCAGAGTGATGTTGGGGAGTATCTTAGAGATGTATGTTCTACTCAATTGCTTTTGGAAATTTCCGAATGGGTGGCTAACTGTCTTGTAGGAAGATACGTTGTTTTAGAAAAAAGAATCGCGGGATGCAGGTGGGATTCGTAGTTTGTATGATAGATGGTGTATCGTATAATGCGATTATACTAATGAGCTGTATGATGATGTTGTTGTATTAAGCTCTCTTGCGCAAACAATCAGGAGCGTGAGTAAAGTGTTTTCTGTCAGCTAGATTGAATCATGGACCGCGGTGGGTATGGGAGTGGATATTTCTCCCCGAGGGAAAATCGGTCGAGAAGGGGTGTAGTCTAGGGGCTTTCCATTGTTGACTATATTATCATATCCGAACATATCCAAACATCCTACCCTGGATCTCCTGCGTTAACGGAGCGTGGGGTTTTGGCTCGTAGGGTTAGTTTCGGCTAGCAGCCCATCGCAAATTCTCTATGTAGCCTCAGGCCTTGAGAGAAGAGTCCTCTTCTATAATGGCGGGGATGCCTTGAACCCAATAATAGTTCTTGGAAAGGAACACTTGGTGAAATTTCAGGATTTTAAGAGGCAAGACTCTCTGAGTCCATCTATCCCGGAAGCAAAGCTGCCGGTACTCGAGTAGATAGCGGAGTGCAGATAATGTCACCTTATACTCTGATACCACCCACATACTCTCTGAACCGTATCGACATCATACCTGATTTCAATCACGAATTTTCCTCCTAACTATCAATTGTAGTATGTTCCATGCGCTATCAACATTCCCGCTCCATCCAACAGCAATTCTGACCGACACCCCTACGACCACCCTTTCCGAAACCACACATTTTCAGCATGACTAATCCGTGGGTTTCGAACTTATTCCCGTCGCGTCAGCCGGGATGCTAAATATCTGGGAGTTTGTTGGATGCATCATGCATACCTTTCGGCTTTGAGTTAAGCTACTGGTTTTTTTGGCTCTTGGGGGAACAGGCTCCAGGCGCGATGCCGGGAATTTATGGCTATCTTGATATTCAGCAAGGAGTGTGGGCGAGCCCCTCATGATGGGTTTTCTGGTGATTCACACCAGATTTGTAGAGTTTACTAATATGGGTAGTTTGTGTGTGCGTGGGGGGGCTGCTGGTGTAGGATAAGGAAGGGGGACTTTGGAGGTGGCGCAGTTGGTTTGTGCCGGGCGGGCAGCAATGGATTGAGTACTCGTACTGCTATCATAGCGTAATGGTTGGATACTAGCACTTGTATGGGGGCTGCTATAATAGGTATGTCTACAAGCCCTGTCTTAGATAACTGTGGTAGAATGATCCATCTTGATAGTGCTTGGGCATACTGACGTTCAGACTGCCACACTGCAGATAACGATAACTTAGAGCCTAGGGAACAACAGTTGGTGAATAAGCTTGGATTACGGTACTATTGAGATGGTGATCTTTGACTCTTGGTTGGTGGATACCGGTAATGCACTGAAAGAACCTGGTGGGATTATACCTAAGAACAGGATGAATTGTCCCCCCCACTGACGGGCCTGATTTGGCGACTGTGAGCAGGTTATCCTCGGGCTAACCTACCGCACACTGGGTGTGATGAAGCCACGGAAATGTGTCTCCGAATATCTGCCCAGATTATGCAAAGTTACAATTGGAGTTATATGGAGGAAAATTTGGGGGTCTGGTTTTTAACAATGTAGCAGGCCTTTAGTCGTTTTGTCTAGCCATTCTTCTATTGGTAATAGTTTACTGTGGCTGTTGTTGTAACAATAATATCAAAGTTAGGCTATGATACGATAAAACCTCTTGAAATCCACCATCTCCGGTCCCATGCAGCTGGGAGCGACTGGGGGGGTTCAGTGAGGGGAAAGCGTAGAACGAGTGACTGGCTGTGATACAGCAACAATGACACAGTTGGAGTTAGTACTAAACAGTTCCTAATAGCTTACGGATAGCCTCCGTGTCTGTTATGGATAATTATATACAATAAGCCCTTATGTCATTATTACGAGTCCTTTATGAATAATTACAGAAATCTGGTAAGATTACAGTATTTAATCTTATATAATATTATAATAATTATAAAGCTATTTAGAAAAATTTAACTTCAGGTTAGAAGAAAGAATATGCAATAATGTAGCAGTAATTAAGTATGGAATGTACAGGATTTGTATATAAGATCTATATTTTTTATTAGCTAATTTACTAGACAAAAGTCTTTATAATGCTAAATAATCATTGACTTAGTAAGGCAGTTTTAAGAGGACAATGTTCTTCTTCCATGTTGTTACTAAATTCTGAAAAATAGTACAAGTACCAGTACTGTAATATCTTAATTCAGGCAAATATAATGCCGCCTCATATGATATATGAAAGTGTAGCAGATAGTAAAAAGAGTTTTTATCTTACACTTTACAGATGATATTGGTTTTTTACTAGTTTTCTTAATTGCTAAGTTAGTTGATTGTTAACAGCTTGTTTTACTGGATAGGGCAGCTAAAGCTGCCCCAAAAATGGTCCAGCTAGTGGTTAGTTAGTATGTTTATCTCTATTGACTATTCTATATATGCTAGGAGTACAAGAATCCGATATCCAGGAACTATTCTAAGTAGGGTAACACTACGTGTAATAGGAATCGTGGGTCTTTTACACCCCTCCTTTGGTCTTCTTACGGGGCCCACATGTTATCATACATATCTATCTTATATGTGTCCCATGACTATAATGCCATGGAATTAAAGATGTCAAAATAACACCATATAAGTGGCTAGTACAATGGAAATATCATGTAACATCTTTCTGGAGGTCATGTGTTCAACTCCAGTTGTGAAAAAAAAGTTATTTCTGGTATTGTTATTTTCTACCAAAACTACTTGAAATTGCAAGACTCCCTGCATGATAAACAAGAGCCTCCAATAGAAGGGTTAAGATTCTATCCTATAGAAGTGCTTCTCCTCTATACGAGGAAGGTTACTGGATAGAAATCTGTCAGTTGAATCAAGAGATATTGAGGTTTGAGGTCGGCAACCTAAGAGATTGCATACTCGACCTAGCAGTATTGCCCACCGAGGGTGTAAGGTGTTTGCAAAGTGCTAATCATGTTTCAGGATAAGGTATAATAGTTGACAGGTAGCCTGCTCTACCAGAGAGAAGGTAAAAGTTGTGAATTAAAAGAGGCTTCAAAGGTGTACTGGGAAAACTAAAGAGTAATCATCCAATCAAGTATATTGAAATACTGTCTGTTGAAGTCTGCCTTCTCCATTGTGGAATTAGGCAGGCTTTAAATACACAAATCTGTTGATATCTAGTATGAATCAATCTATTCAAAGGTATTAAGTGATACACTTTAGTAAAACAAATCAAGTATTAAAATGATACTTAAATCAAATATAAAACAAAATCCAGTATCAAACGATACTTAAAACAAAGCAAGTATCAAAACAATGCTTAAAATAAAACATAAAACAAAACCAAGTATCAAACGATACTTAAAACAAAGTAAGTATTGAAACAATACTTAAAACAAAACATAAAACAAAACTAAGTATTAAACCATACTTAAAACAAACCAAGTATCAAAACAATACTTAAAGCAAAACATAAAACAAAATCAAGTATTAAACGATACTTAAAACTGTTAGAAGTACCATGATCCGATACCCAAAACCTGCTCTAAGTAGGGTAACCTCATCCGGAATAAGAAACTCTGGTCTCTAACGTTCCCTTCTGGCCCCCGGACAGGGCCCATACATCATCATACATATTAATCCTAGTTGCTTCATATGACTATAATGTTATAGAATTTAAGGTGTAGGAATAACAATATATACATAGCTGCTGTGCCTCCAACCAGATCTTGTTTGCAGGATATATGAGAGGGGACATTCAACTAGGTCTGGGAAGTCGAACAGAGTAAATCGGTCAGCTACTCAGAGAGTTACTAGGCTTCAAAGATGTTCTAACTTTGGTAGGTTTGTACATAAAGAGATCTTTTCTGTAACCGGTACTGGTACTTGGTTAAGGGTTTTGTTTTATATTATATTTTAAGTATCGCTTTGATACTTGGTTTTGTTTTATATTTTGTTTTAAGTATCATTTGATACTCGGTTTTGTTTTATATTTTGTTTTTTTAAATATTGCTTTGAAACTTGATTTTGTTTTATGTTCTGTTTTAAGTATCGTTTGATACTTAAATTAGTTTTACTAAAGTGTATTGCTTAATACTTTTGATTAGCTTCATTCATACTAGACATGAACAAGATATATGTATTTAAAGACCACCTGTTTCCACAATAGAAAAGGCAGACTTTGACAGATAGTATTATCAATATACTTGATTGAACGGTTACTCTTAGTCTTCTCAGTACACCCCTGATGCCTCCTTTAGATCACAGTTCTCGCCTCCTCTCAGGTAGAGTAGGCTATTTGTTGACACTTGTACCTTACCTAGCGAATGTGATTAGCACCTAGCAAACACATTTTATTATTTTAACCTTACCATGTGGTTAAGAACCTGTCACCAGACTTAGGCCTGATCAACCTATGGAGGTCCACCTTAGAACACTAGTAGAGAGAAGCAGTAGAATCAAATTACATTTGGCTTCGTCTTGATACCAACATAGTGTCATTGATGACTAGGAGTAGGAAGCAGATTCCATGGCAAGACCTTACTAGAAAGAAACAATTCCGACACTCTGCTAAATACCCTGAGAGTGATGAGCCTGCAAGATATAGCCAGGCAGAGCAAGAACCAGAACAATCCACAAAAACGGAAGCACCTCAGCGTTCGGGATAGTTCCTACCTACTCCAGTGAAGAAACCTACTATTGGACCTCCAGATGACCCCAGCACTAGCAGTGACTCCGATATAGCTAGTGCAGGAGGAGGACCATCAAGATCATGCCCTGAAGAAAGCCAAGAAGAATTTGATATACCTGACATACCTGGATTCAAACTCCATCTACCGCTCAAATTTACAGGAGAAGGGAAAGACCTTAAACCCGAAGCTTATGAACGACGTGCAACTGAGCTTACACATTACCTTTTCTTAAAGAAGATAGATGTGGAGAATCCAACACCGGGATTATACATAGGATCATTCTGCGAGGGAAAGACAATGGATGCATATCACCAATGCTACACGGAATATGGAAGAAACCCAAGACTGAGAAGATCAATTGTTCTTGACTACCTCAAGAGACGATTCCAATTCTCTAACA